TGGAATAGTTTCAAAAGCATATTTAAGTTTATTACGGATTTAATAAATTCCAGAACATTCTTGCATTTATCGGGGTTTCATACAACCAGACCAAACACTCTAATAAATATCATATTGTATTATCACAATAATTATAATGTATTAATTAAATCAACATCTCTGGATCAGATAAAATTATTTTCCTTGTAATTAATGGATGTAAGAACGAAACGATTCGTCTTCATATAACATACGCTCACGTAATATGTAAAAGCTTATTATACGTTGAAGCGAGACGGAACATGTATATATCATTGTCGAGTAAACTAAAGTTAAAATAAATTATAAAATAATAATGATATTCTCCAACAACTTACTAAAATTATGTCGTTACAATATCTCGACTAGCTGATTAACAAATATGTATTAATGAGAAAATATTAAGTACATCAAATTGCCACTTAAAATTCAGTCAATATTTGTAAAATATGGGTATATTTTATCAATTCTGGTTTGAATATTTTGTGTTGAAATAAAAAAGTAATGCTTATAGACTTAATACTTTTGTGTATGTGTATAATGTCTTCTTTAATTTCGAATTCGATGGACAAACTGACATGTTTTTTGTGAGTCACAGTTCTTAATATGTTGGTCAGACTGCTTTAATACATACACCATGATTCCCCTGTGAAACGTAAATCAAATATCGCAAGGTCTTCAATCAATCTGAATCGCCTGGTTGTCCACAAAGTTTTAATAGATTGCCTTCGATAGTGCACTTACCGTAATAACCTAGTGACCGGTTCCCATCATAAATAATAAATATTATGGCTTATATCATGCAAATAAATTAATCTATTCAAACGTATAGAATTATTGTAAAACAACTTATAAATGTTTTATCTGTCCATTAATCGCCTAGCATTGAAAATTTTCCATTATCACGACTGATAATAAGTAAATAATTTTATTTTAAAGTGTTCAGAGTCATTTTTAACCATGAAATTCCTACTTAAACATTGACAGATTCGGATCTTTGAGATCTTAATAATTTTAAGAGAAAAGGAATAATGGCTAATATTTAAATAAACTTTTATAGCAGAGTTCTTAACTCGAGTCACATAAAAAAGTAAGCATTGCTCCAGTTATTTATAGATAAAGAAACAGATGAATAAAAGTATCCTTGCATTATTGGTTAATAAGTAGTTTTGTATTATATTAACTATTAATAACACTGAAACGAAACTATAATTTAAATTCACTGAACTAATTCTGCAATATATTTTTTCACAGAAATAGTATATTACCTTATCTCATTTTATGGACATTTGTTTAATTTCGTCAATGAATTGGGGTTTACGATAACGACTGATATTTACACAAGATAAGATTACTTAGTTGCCGATGATCGAATATAATCTTTGAACAGCAGAATATTTAAAGTTTGCGCTGGGAATGCATGAACAAGTAAAATCAATCATATCAAAATTGTTTTTGAGTTAAATCGAACTAGATATGAAGACTGTTCAAATGAATCATAAATAACACTCAAGATATACACTGATATATTAACTCCGTAATCGTTATCGATACATCAGCGTACCTGTGCACTTAAAGCACCTAAAACTCACTTATTGCTCCCTTTTTCAATCATAAACACCTTTTGTAATAAGATACAACTTGGATGACAAATAATGGAATTACGTAAACCTCAAGCTCGTTTTTTAACACAAAGAGAAACCTTATACATTCTATATTAACTCTTTAGATAATTAAAAATTAATTAAGTTCATTTTAAGCTTGTAAACTCAACCCAGATCAAGCAAGTTTTAATTCAATAAAAACCTATACATGAAAGCATCTATAAAACATTTCACCCAAATTGGCGGAATCATGTTTCATTGTTTCCTACTAGGGTTGTCATTGTCATTTATACATATTACATATTGCATAGTGTATATATGGTATTCATAGTAATTATTATTGTTCTTGATTAAGGAACATAAAAACATATTTATAAATTGAAAATTATTTTTATTTCATTTAGTTTATTTAGTGTTTTATACCAATTACATGTTTTAAAAATTAATCGAGAAATTAAAAATTATCCAATCGTTACTATTATGCATACTTTTATAGGTTTTGTCGTTTTGAAATATATTAAACCTTAAAAAAAATAGCGAATATTTACGACTGAATAATTTTCAAATCACACTTTCTTTTTAATAACTAGATATTTTTTTCTACCTTAAGAAAAACAAGACAGCATTAACTTTTTTAATTAGATCTTTTTTGACGATGGCTAGAGATATTGAATTACTTACAAATATAATCGGAATATCGGAATGTCTTATACTAATCGCCATAGTTTTAGGGCTTCATTTTGATCGGTCGTGTATTTCGATGTATATTTTTTATTACATCTAAAAAATATATAAGAATCATGATGACTTAGAAAACAGATTTGATAACCGTTATCACTTCTTTGAATCATCAATGGATTCGCGCAATTCTTATCTGTCAGACTTAAGTAACACAAATAATATTAACGGATTAAGACACTTTTTAGTTGAATTTTCGCCTTAACGTTGATGTACATATATGTAAATGTATACCTATATTATTTTTCGATTTGTCTAATGCTCTTAGCCCTAATGGCTTTGACAGCGTCACCGAGACACATATTAGTTTTAAGAATCGTAAGATTCAAACAAATTAAAAACCTCCTATACAAATGAGACAAATATTTCTTTTGGAATAATAAAACACATTTCAATATGCCATCATTTATTTGCACAATAAGATATAATCTAGAATATCGTGCCGAATATTATTTTACCACACACACATACACGACAGAAATATGATACAATCATTAATACAAAATAAACCTAAACATTCCTATTAAATTACATATAACCATTAGGTCTGTGATATTGAAAAAAAGCAATATTCTGATCGTCAGACTGATTGTAAATCAAATACCTTCAGCGTTATCTTCGGGATATCGACTTAGATATTGTTTTCATTAATATTATATCGAATCACGTGTGAAACAAAATTATTTTGAACATTATATATAGGTATTCTATCTATGCAAGCAGATTTATAGCCATTTCTCTTCTATATATTATAATATATATACGCGATGGACCCGGCACCCGCACGGTGAATCCATTGGATGCTAAAAGGTTTCGTCTCATCTATTTAATATTATTCTAAGTTGATTTAAGTTATATTTATCGAATGAGAATTAATGGTTTCGTGAAAATAAATTTACCATTACATTAAGTCGGCGAACATTTTTGGACGTAACGAAGAATATTAAAATAATTTAATGAAATGATCTGTCACCTATCAAATTAGGAATAGAAACAACTAAACGTCATTAGCTTAATCCAATTTTAATTAGCGAATGCATTGTGACCACAACCGAGTTATTTTATATCGTAGCAACTTTGATTTAGATTTGTCATCGGGAAGCATACAGTAAATTAGGGATCTCGTGTTTGCACTACAGGAATTTGTGTTAATATCGTTTTCATAGCCCATATTAGCATCGTCATACTGATAGACGCTTAAAGGATTTACATTCAAAAACTTTGGCTGTACCGTCTTATGTGAAGATTCATGAATAACAACTTTTAAATTGTCGTTTAAGTAATGCAAATTCGTACGAAGAGTTGGAACTCGAAGTTTGAATGTTATAAATAATTTAAATACTTACGTACTTAACATGCCATAGATATAAACGTTACTGGAAAATTACAACTATCTACTATGGATGATTACAATTTAGATTTTACACGTAAATTTTATTATGACTAGTCAAATATTTTAAAACAGTGATGTCACTGTTTTTTAACAATTTTTTACCATAAAAAACGAAGTACATTTTGAGATTTATTTGTACTAAATATAATTTTAGCAAAGTTTTAAAGGCATAAACATCTTACAACTTTATTACAAAAGGCTTCCTACATATTTTGAACTTTAAATTTTTGATTAAATCAGTCATGACTCTTAATTGTAATATTTCAATTTTATAACAAAGAATACTTTTCATGAAACTACTCAATGAAAAAACAATTATTATTATTAATTTAACAATGTTTAACATAATGCAATTGACAAAAATACATCAAACTACTAGATGTATGAGTTATGTTTTTTACTTGTGATATAAGAAAGGTGGTTATAATTTATCACTTCAATACTATTATCACAGTATTTAAATATTTAAAAATACATATATCCAAAGTATATCTATGAAAAATACAAATAAAAATTACACTGGTCTGGTTGATAAGAAATAATGTGAATAAAAAATAATTGAAATAAGAATACTTGCTAATTACAAAAAATCTAATAACTATGAAAGAAACTTAAGTTATTTGTGTATTAAAAATATCTAGGACAATGTTTCAGGATACTGTTGAACACAAAGCTTATCTGAACACCATGTATACAAACATGTTTCATTAAGTACATAATTCAAGATATGTTTTAAACCATATATTAATACTAATATGTTCTTAAAAATCATACAACTCTATTGCTATATAAATTAAACAGAATTGAAATTTGTGCTACCGTCAATAAATACTTATGTGAATGGTTCAGCTATATACATTTACTCAACAATTACAAAGCCCCCCAACATAATTGTTATATTTAAAAAAAAGAATATTTTTAAAAACATAACAAATAAAAAATAGAATACAAATATTAAATTATTATGAATATAAATCTCACATTTTATGTTCATGGATATTAGAATACTCATACTGAAAAAAATAGCAAGTAAAAAAAAAATAAATAATTTATATTTTTAACATACACAAAACTAAAATATTACTCCTTAAAAATTTTAGTCTTTGGTAACTTAAAATGGGTGAATAATCACTTGTTCATGAATTAAATAAATCTTTGATAAAGATATCACAAACAGATTAACCTATCATGCATCATATATATCAACTCTTAAGTAATTTGTGCAATTTTTATACTAATAATACAGTTTATACAGTAACAGGTACCTTAACCTCTTTATTAACAATATAAAATTTATGTTTCTTCCCTACAAGACCCCATACAACAGCTATGTTCTCGATAACAACATTTATTGGTATAATCGTCAATGCACTACCAACAAATAAAAAGAACTTCAATGTGCCAAATCTATGTATAGGAAATGATTTAATGACACCAAATATATACATATATATGTTGACGGCACCCACAAAACAACATATTAAATCTAAGAAATGGGGGCATGGTATCGGACAAAAAGCATTTAATAATATATTACTAGTCGATAATGGCAGTGTTGCCCATGAGTAACATGAAATTGCTAGAAACATTTTATATTGAAGAGGTATTTCCTTGGAATGGACAACCAAAAGTATACCTTGAATCCATCTTTTTCTTTGCTGCATGAAATCCCATAGCGTAAATGGCGACTTTTCCCACATTTCCCCTTCAATAAAGTTGAATGAATAACCATCTCTATATGCTTTCATGGCAAAGTAGCAGTCTTCAGCCACAGAACCATCGAGACCATTGTCAAATGACACCTTTTTTTCTGCACCGACCTAAAATAAAACATAAATTGTCATGAAATAGGCTGAAAACTACATTTTGGCTATACAATATGATTAATAAAATAATTTTCTTGATATAAATATAAGAAATACTCACTTGAGTAACAACATATGATCCTTTCCAGCTAAAGAGCGGCTTATGGAACATGTAAAATTGAAATCTCAGTTTCCCCATATCATCGGCAACACGAAAACTATCAGCCAATGTTGTCAGCCAGTTTACAATAATTTCATTAGCATAAGTGATAAGGCCTTGACCAAATTGACATTGTCCATCCAATACAAAATTTAATATCCCACGCACTGAATTCTCTGTAAGTAATGTTTCCTCGTCTAGATGTACAATCCAATCATTATCTGCTAATATATTGACGTTATCCTCTAAGCAATACTGCAGGGCTCTCGACTTGAAGAGTGCACCAGTTTTTGTTTTATACTCGGCTGGTACCACAACTTCTCTCACTCGTCTATGCTTCGGCAGGTTTATAGCTTTATCCGTCACAACTTCAATCATAAAGTTTTCCATTCCAACATCCAAGCACATATTCATGTTCCTTGTGACATTATCTCTAACTAATTTAGGGAAATCCCCTCTAGTTACTACTCTAATACATATAAATGGAGCAAGTAATGGAGATCCTTTCAATTTCACTTTACCAGGGAATGCATTAAAAAACAATAACCCACAAAAGTTACAAAGAACTTGGGGGATAGTTAATAGAGTGAGGAGTCTTAGAAAATATAGCACAAGAGCTCCAAACACTGTATATGTTTCCCATGGATCTATATAAGGTTTTTCTTTATTATCAAGATTTATGGCACCAGCCACCACAAAAGAAAAATATATAAATGATAAAAAAAATGCACAGTGAAATAAATGTGGTACTCTTCCCCTAAGCATCCTGAAACAAAATCATTAATTACTGATATTGGACTTATATAGGATATAAATCGAAACCACGAAAGAGCACTAATAACAGTTTTATATATAACAAATTTATTATACACTATCCAGACACTTATGTTGTTTCCACTTTTATGGTAATTTTAGTATTATCGAAATAAAATAATCGTATAATTAAGACTTAATGCACTTATTGTTTAAACACAACATTTTTAAATTATATAAAATGTATGTCTTATTACCTTCTCATAAATTTTAACAGTTAGATTAATAAATATAACAAATAATTGTTATTATATTTAAATATTACACATTTATAATACTTCGTGTATTTTTAACAAAATATCACACAAAACGTTTGCAATAAACAAAATTACACAATTAAAATTTACAGCAACATAGCTCAGCGCACACCCCACTAACTGACATTCAAACAAAGATTAAATAAAGATTGTTGAGGAGTTGCTTATCTACTATCAGTCTATTCAGTACCTATTCCAACTAAGGTAAAAATGAAGAACTATTTTGTCTGTAAACTGATGTCAAGTACAGAACAAAATATATCATTAAATTTATTTATTAAAAATAATTAAAAAATAATTTCAAATACCCTGAAAAATTAAAAAAAGAAGTTAAAGTCAACAAATACAAGCAGAATAAGAAACATATACCATACTTTGTTATTTAACTATGTGTTTAAAAAAAATTGTTTCATATTTTATGTGTGTATATGTTTTTTAACAGTATTAATCATTTTGCTTAAAAAATTCTCACATTATAAAAATTAACAAATGTATTTTGACTGCCTTTACTTACAGTTCTGTCTATTTTAAATTTAAATTTGTCATCGTATAATAATATTTATATTTGGATTTTCTATTGTGCTGCTAATGAGTAAAATAAAAAAATCTGTGACTTAAAATATTTAACTGTAACGCCATAACAAAAACCCAGATAGATATTTATATAATTATTAAACTTCATATTATATCTATATATATAACAATTTATCATTAAAAATATATCTATGTATACAAAGTATCTATAATCATCTTCATTTTTTATTGACTTAAATAAATCAATACTTTCTATTTAATTGCAGTCAATAGCCAACCCTAAACGTCAGTGACGTCCAAACGTCAATGACACTGCCACAGAATCCTAAGCGCCAGACACTACTCTAAAATCTAATATTAAACAGTCGATATGTTTACTTTTTTCATTTCAATTATTATTTGACTGACGCAAATATATCTTAGTAGAAATCATGAAATTATGATCGCAAGTACATACAGTCACAAGTTACTAACGGATATACAATGTTGAGACAATGTATGGGAAATTTTAGCTGGAAGAGAAAGTGTCTTAAATAATATTAACGGGTCGATATGAATATGTCTGTCTCGGATTTATCTGTTGGATGTCGATTTGCGGATTATTTTGTGATTTGTGGCCTCGATTTCGACTCGGGATTGGAAGCTGATGGTTTAAGTGGTGAATATTACATTATTTTATTATTAATATTTTTCATTTTCTTTGTCTAAATAATATTTTTATTGTTATTGTAGGAGACAATTTACACATATCGCCCCTCGATCGTTCGTACAAGGGAAAAGTTCTAGCTCACTACCCTGAGAATGTTCACTCTAATAAATTTGATGAAAATGCGGTGTGTATGGTGAGTAAAAATATATAATAAAATCTTTAATGCAACCTTTTTTAACAATATTAGAGTATTGATTAAATTTTCATTAAATATGTTGTATTTCTTTCCATATGTTAATTAATTCTGAGACTTATAATATATTTTATATAATAAATGTTCTTAACAGCTCTGCCTGCCGGCTAGTCTCCAGTTTAAAACACAAAAACACTCATTAGAACCAAAGTTTCATAGTTTTGTAGTGACCAGAGAAAATGCATCTAGATATTATGGATTCAGTCTTATCTTCTATGAAGAAGTGCGAAACAGGAACATTTGCAATGCCATGCATACACTACAGGTACAAATATTTTAATGATGCAAAATTATTCCATTATCTATCTATAGACATACTAAAATTCCTATTTTTATTATGTCATAAATAGATAACTTTAAATTGTTACATATAAGATGTATTTACCAAGTATATGTATGTTTTTAAATAAATATTCTTAATGATGTTTTCCAGGCTATGTATATCACTGAGTTATCGAGCGGGCAGACTCCGCCAGGCCATAGAAAAGGGTCAGGCAAAGAAAGTTCTAGATCTTTGCCGCGCTCCTTCAAACTTGCCCCACACACCGGAGCCGCACTCACATACTACGATATAACCAAAGACAAACTCTATGTAGCCAAAAGTATAGCACTTATATGTCAATACCCGTATGTGAGGGTCGCACAATTATTCTTAGAGAATTTATTTAGGTTGGTATCATATTTAAGTTGGTACTGATATAAATCCTTTTTTGATCTTAATGGCATAATTGTTTCAGGTCATTACCGAGACAGCCCGGCCCAGGTCTTAGCCCCGAGTCCTATGTTTACAACTTGCTGTATGAAGTTCCAGTGCCCATTCCTGGTCAAGCATTACGTCTTTATGTCCCTCCAGCCGAACCTCATCTCGATTCAATACCAGTTGTAAGTTATGTCCTTAGAGAAATAATTTATTACATATTACTTTGGTTATTATATTTAACTAGCTGCTCCCCGCGGTGTTATCCGCGGATTTCCGGAATGTAAAGTACTATGTGTTATTCCTGGACGTCAGCTTCCTGTACACAAAATTTTATCAAATCGGTTCAGCCGTTTGAGCATGAAGAAGTAACAAACATACACACAAACTCACAAACTTTCACAATTATAATATTAGTAGGATAATATTCTAGTAGCTTCTTTCTATTTAATAACAGTATACAGGGTGACTGGTGAATTACTATCAATATTTAAAGAGAATACTTGGTATATGATTCTCATTCGAATTATGTAAAAAAAATAGGTACTTAATTTTTGACTAAATTTCCGTATAAATAAATAAAGTGTGGACACGTTCCAAGTGTTCCAAGTGTGGACGCCTGCGGCGGCGTGCTGATACAACACCACGCCAACGCCAAACGCGCGCGTGTGTGTGTGTGTGTATACCTAATTTGTAGGGTGTTCACACGATGCGTAATGAATTACATAACTTTTGGTTAACTTTACTTAGAAGTTTATTAATATTTATGTTATATTAATTTTTATTTTGTCATATACAGGGTGACTGGTGAATTACTATCAATATTTAAGGAGAATACTCGGTACATGATTCTCATTCGAATTATGTAAAAAAAATAGGTACTTAATTTTTGACAAAATTTCCGTATAAATAAATAAAGTGTTGACACGTTCCAAGTGTTCCAAGTGTGGACGCGTGCGGCGGCGTGCTGACACAACACTACGCCGCCGCCGCGTCTGTGTGAGTGTGTGTGTATGCCTAATCTGTAGGGTGTTCATACGATGCGTCATTAATTACATAACTTTTGGTTAACTTTACTTAGAAGTTTATTAATATTTATGTTATATTAATTTTTATTTTGTCATATATGATCGTCAAATATCACGTCCTCAAATATTGATAGTAATTCACCAGTCACCCTGTATAATCGTCAAATATCACGTCCTCAAGTATCGATAGTAATTCACCAGTCACCCTGTATATTTCCATGTATTCAATTAAGGGACTAGTTTCTGAATTCTGAATCTATTCACTACATCAACTAAATGATAAAAATCCTACTAAAATTATTATTAATATGAAAGTTTTCAAGAATGCATACATATTCATGGATTTAACACTTAAGAACTGTCAAGCAGACTATGTTGAAACTTTTGAGTAATGTATCTTAGACATGAGAATAGATAATAAGTCATAATAGTAATGTAATTCCCGGAACAACAGAAAATGAAAGTTGTATATGTATAAAGTCATAACTTTATATAATGTACATATATTATTTGTTTATGTAAGACAGACTAAACAGAGCCGAGTTTTAGTTGACATAAATGTTAATTATGCTTTTTTTTATCTCAACTCTTTTCCAAAATAGAACAGTAATATTAACATCGAATAATATAATTTTAATAGATATATTACATGTGAATTTATATATAAATATGATATTAAACAAATTTTCCAGGTGATAAGAATGCCAAATCCTCCCGATGAGTTACCACTTCTTGACTACCCTCTGCGTGTAATGTTTACATTGTTGGGTGCAGAATATGTCGTACAGCTGTTCACTTGTGTACTGCTGGAACATCAAGTGCTTTTGAGATCCAGTGGTGAGTTAGCTTTCTATATATATACTAGCTGCGCCCCGCGGTGTTACCCGCGGATTTCCGGGATGTAAAGTAGCCTATGTGTTATTCCTGGACGTCAGCTTCCTGTATACAAAATTTTATCAAAATCGTTTCAGCCGTTTGAGCGTGAAGAAGTAACAAACATATACACATTCACTAATTTTAACAATTATAATATTAGTAGAATAATGGATTTTTTTTTGTACATTCATAAGTGTGGAATTTGTGCATAACTTTAATTGAATGTATTTGAATAGTTCATTATTTAAATGAATATTAAGTATTTAATGAATTTGTTTGTTTGTATAGTATCTATATAGTAAATATTTACATATAGATGTTTAAACAACATAACATTTAAGTATTGTTAGTGTTAATGTTGTAACAAACAAACAAATACACAGAAATAATTTATACTAGATAAGGAATTTCACAACGACATATGTAAATATCCAAATTTTATTTTAAAAAAAGTGTTATTTTTATTATAATGGAATTTTGTTTGACACTTATACAGGGTGACTGGTGAATTACTATCGATACTTGAGGACGTGATATTTGACGATCATATATGACAAAATAAAAATTAATATAACATAAATATTAATAAACTTCTAAGTAAAGTTAACCAAAAGTTATGTAATTAATTACGCATCGTATGAACACCCTACAGATTAGGTATACACACACACTCACACACACACGTCGGCGGCGTGGTGTTGTATCATCACGCCGCCGCACGCGTCCACACTTGGAACACTTGGAACACTTGGAACATATCCACACTTTATTTATTTATACGGAAATTTGGTCAAAAATTAAGTACCTATTTTTTTTACATAATTCGAATGAGAATCATGTACCGAGTATGCTCCTTAAATATTGATAGTAATTCACCAGTCACCCTGTATGTGTGCCTAAAAATTTATTATTATATATTTTTTAATACTTTCAACATAATTTCAATATGAACTCATATAAGTTTTCAATTCCAATTATGCATATATATAAAAAGAAATTGATTTTTGCGCTTAAAAATTGTAAATATCTGAAATTTTAATAAGATAGTAACTTATATGTGAATATAGAAACACTTAAAGAATTTCATTTTTCCATTTCTATTACATTTTTATTGTCGCTCTGCTTCTATTGTTCATAGTATTGTGTTTTATTCCTATATATAGTTATATGGATAATTTAATTAAATAAAAAAAAAAATTTATATCTGAGGTTAGCTCAAACAAACAAACTTTACAGTTTTTAAATATTACTATAGAGATGAAATAATTTGTCTGTCAGTTATATCTATAAAAACAATCTCTACTCTTATAGTTTACACAATATGAAAGCACGATACAAGCTATTTCAATGGAATAAAACAGCTGTTTTTCGCTTGTTAGGGTATTTTAATGGCAATTTCTTTAATAAGAGTTCCCTCTCATATAGGCAATGTACAAACGTTAAATCTTTGGATGGGCAGGAAAAAAATAGCAGTCTTATAAAAATTCAAATACTAAAACAATAAATTACTTTTAACCGTTCTCTTTCTGTGTTTAAGATTCATAGAATTTACTTTTTGTAGGATAGTATATTAAATGGTTTATTTTTTCTTGTTACTGTCCTACGTGAACTGCTTTAGTTTATAAAAACTCTTTAAAATTTTAATGACAGATTCAATAATTTACTACATTTTTATTAAAAAATCATACAAAATATTACACTCATCAAATTTAACAAGATCAATATGCAATTTTATTTTGTGCTTGAATCAATTTAAAATATTAAAAAAAAACATTCGACATGATGAAACCGTTATAAAAACATATTATGTACAACTGTGTGCATTTACGAGCAATGTTCAACTAAAAATTACTTTCACTTCATATCAAATAAACGTAATTTAATTCATAAATCCACTTTCCTTTTCTACATCACGAATATTAAGTCATTGTATAGTTGTAATAATCTTATTAAAGATATATTAATTTATGTTACAGATTTCAACAAGTTGATGCTTGTGTCTGAATGCATCGTGTCTCTTCTCCTGCCATTCACCTGGGCCTATGTTTACGTCCCTATACTGCCGGCACCATTATACCATTTTCTTGATGCACCAGTGCCTTTTGTTATGGGTAAATAGCAATAACTTTTATTCATTAAAATCAAGTGTGCTTAGAATATACATTCATACTAGAAGACCCGGCGAACTTCGTATCGCCCTATAATCAAGAAATATCTGTTACGTTTTTTTATTTATATTTTTGGAGTTTACCTTTTAAAGCCATAAATCTCCGTGTTTTGAAGTGCGACAGAATGATTAACATATTAGTTAGTTGTCAAATCTAATATAAAAAAAAAGTTTGTATCAACAACTACTAATAAATTAAAAATTAATTAAAAAAACATTGTCCAGCGGACAAAATTGTGAATCTAAACCACTCCCAGATCCCCTTGAACACACACAAAAAATTTCATCAAAATCGGTCCAGTCGTTTGAGAGAAGTTCAGTGACATATACACTCACAGAAGAATTATACATATATATAAAGATGAAAATATATGTTTACTCTACAATATATAAAACCTTTTTTAATATTCTCAATTTTTTTTCCAGGTCTCCATACTGATAGTGCATCAATAGGTATCGGTAATGGGCCAAGGAATATAGCTCTTAGTTCTGAAGCTACCCTCTGTTTAGTTGATATTGATAAGCCAGACATACAACTTCCCGAGGAACTGCCAATATTTCCACACAGAACCCCATTCATCGAAGAACTCAATCACATATTGGATAAACATCAGGTATTACATATGTTTTTTCAAATTTAAAAATAATTATTAAAAATCAAGTTAAATGAAACTAATATTATCATATTACTACGCCTATTTTATTATTTTAAACTACATATACCCGACGTTTCGGTTACTTTGCAGCAACTATAATCACAGGCAGATGAGTTGTGGTTCATATGTGAATTAGATCTCATTATAAATATTAAATTCTTCTCAAATTTCTTTATAATCAAAAATTCCATAAAATTAATTGATCACTATTGTATTAAATACATACATACATATGTCAAATATAACTACACTTCAGTTATATACAGGGTGACTGGTGAATTACTATCAATATTTAAGGAGCATACTCGGTACATGATTCTCATTCGTATTATGTAAAAAAAATAGGTACTTAATTTTTGACCAAATTTCCGTATAAATAAATAAAGTGTGTACACGTTCCAAGTGTTCCAAGTGTGAACGCGTGCGGCGGCGTGCTGATACAACAACACGCCGCCGCGCGCGAGTGTGTGTGTGTGTAGTATACCTAATCTGTAGGGTGTTCATACGATGCGTAATTAATTACATAACTTTTGGTTAACTTTACTTAAAAGTTTATTAATATTTATGTTATATTAATTTTTATTTTGTCATATATGATCGTCAAATATCACGTCCTCAAATATCGATAGTAATTCACCAGTCACCCTGTATAAAAAAATTACATTTAAATATATTAATCAATATTTATTGTTATTACTATTAAAATATATGTATTCCAAACTAGGTTCAGAGGCCTGAAACAGAGCCTACTAAACTTGGTATGCCTGTAAACGGCACTTCATACAAACATATGAATGATGGAATGAGCAGCAGTTGTACATTACCTTCAGGTATGTATAATAATAATCTTTAATATACATATTTATATAAACACATTATTTAGACACCACTGATATATGGTGAAGGAAAACATCGTGAGGAAACCTGGACTTATAGTTTCACAATTATAAGTTTGAAATCACCAACCCGTCTTGAGCAAGCATGGTGATTAATGCTCAAACCTTCTCCATGTGAGAGGTGGCAGCTCAGCAGTGGGCTCTGATAGGCTGATGATGAGTATGACGAGTATATATATGCATATATAGTAAGTACATAATGTGGAAATGTAAATGTAAGAGGTACAAATCAATTTTTAGTGACTCTTATTGTTTTTTTAAGACAAACTTTATAAATATTACTTACAATTCACTATTGACCTACCAATTGACTCATGCTCCGCCTCTTTCGATTCCCTCTCCACAATAGCGTTGACTGTTTGACGCAACCCTTTTTGGAAATTTCATTAGAAGCTTTACTTAAACCATTTGTATTTAATATTATGACTATTTATCGTCATTATTATAACTATATGTAAAAGCTTTTTATTTTCTTAATAATCCTGAAAGAAATTATCTAAATAATTAAATATCTTTCTTCTAATTTTATTATTTTTATGTCAGACAGAGGATTTATATAATTATATAAGTAAAACTATACATATTATTTCATTGATATGATATTCACTAACAATAATTGAGCTTATAACGTTAAATTATCACCACTGCTTATACTACAAATAAGTCAAACATATCAAAATAAACCATCAAAGCATATGTTTACAATGTTTATCTTGTTTCGTTGGCTGTGTTTTACTACAGTTTATTTGTTTCACATCCAGGTGGTCTTAGACGGAAGCATTCATTTCATGACGTGTTAGAATGGGATGAGAGTCGACCATTGAATGCCTCGCCTCCATCGTCACCGCGCCGAGCTCCGCGAAGAATGGACGCCCTACAACGGATTGTGGATATAGTCAAACGAACCGGTCATTATATATGTTATATTATAATTTATTAGGTTCCTAGTAAGCACACACACATACACACACAGTCACACACACACACACACACACACACACACACACACACACACACACACACACACACACACACACACAAACATCTTAAATATATTCATCCTCAATTTTACACATACTACTAATTCTATTTTACTATACTAGTTATATATAGAGCAACAGGAGAGTACGCCTGAAATACAGGTTTATACCTAGTTCGGGGACAGTAGACTTCTTTTATATATAATACCTTTAATAATAAAAAAAATAACTCACTAAAAATATATTATAACTAGCTTTCCGCCAGCTTCGCCCGCGTGGAGTTAAATTATATCGCGTTCCAAAGAGAACCTTTCAAGTCTGGGATAAAAACTATCCTATGTTCTTTCTTAAGGTCAACTCTATGTCTGTACCAAATTTCTTTAAAATCAGTTCAATGATTTAGTCGTGAAAGTGTAACAGACAGACAGAGTTACTTTCGCATTTATAATATTTGTTAGGATTTTTATTTCTAAAGCAATTTTGAGGTAAATGTTTGGATCGATATTCATATACAGAAGTAGGAAATGAAAAATTAGGTTATAAGAATCTGCAATGTTTCGTAAGGAAACCTAATAGATTGCGACATTTTGATATGACGTCAGATATATGCTTAATTAACAGATTCGATTAGGGACACGATAGCTTAATATACAAAGCAACCGAAACATATATCGAAAATTTCAGGTTTAAATCCTGATCGTTTAATCTAGTATCGTATTAATTGTTATTTATATGTGTTAAAATAATGATTAAATGTTTGAATTCCAGGCGTAAATATAGACGATGTAGACGCGGACACCGTGATGCCGACCACCAAGAAGAAGATATTGAACGACGAGGAACAATACAATGAAGATATAAGATTCAATATAACAATTAGAGAAACTTTCCTCAACAGATTCGTTCACATGTTCCTTATGTATGAAAACTTTGTTATAATGCCCGACCAGGTCAGTTATTATACAATATCCCTACTAATATTATAAATGCGAAAGTAACTCTGTCTGTCTGTTACGCTTTCACGCCCAAACCACTGAACTGATTTTAATGAAATTTGGTACAGACAGAGTTGACCTTGAGAAAGAACATAGGATAGTTTTTATTCCAGACTTTTGAAAGGTTTTCTTGGAAACGCGATATAATCGAACTCCACGCGGGCGAAGCTGCGGAGGGAAGCTAGTATTATAATAATCCTATTAATAAATTGTTTGCTTTGCATTCTCTTATTTTATTTATAAAAAACTGTACCATATAGGAAATTGTGATGAGAGCGAAATTAAATTTCGTCCATGTATTGCTTTAAAATATAAAGATATTTTTTTTTCAATTCAATTGCACAAATTTGTAATATTATATACATGAAAAATAAATATATAGAACAATATTTTAGTTAAACTTGTTTTTCATACTACATTTCTTCTCTTATACCTTTGGTAATACACATAGATGAAAATTATATAAGCCAATTATTATTCCAGGATCGTGACTCATGGCTGTCGTCCCGTGAATCGATGGTGAATTTCGACAAGGCTTCATTTCTATCTGACCAGCCACAACGACATAGACCCTTCCTATCACGCTTCCTTGAAACACAAATGTTCGCGACTCTCATAGACAACAAAATAATGGCCAACTGGGGCGAATACGACGCTAACCTACAAGTCTTCGAACATAGAATTCGAGCGGTCAGGTAATATACAGCATGTTCATATTTTGGTTTATGGGTATTTGTTGCATTTGGACTTACAAGTTTGATGTCTAAAACTTACTAACAAAGGGATACTATGATTAAATTGTGTCATAAAAATGTCCGCTTGAAAACACTTAACAATTAACTGTTATAACTGAAAATAATCACATATATACAGGGTGGTTATCCAAAAATATGAATATAGCTATTCCATGGTAACAGACACATTCTTCTTCCTGGCAATTGCCCAGCTTCAGCCAGGGTCTGCCTAACGGACGCATTACCATGGGTTTTTTTTAGGGGCCGGCTGGGCGAGGGCGGGTTGGCTACACGTGGTTACAGCGTGTGGGCGGGTGGCAGTGGCGTGGGCGCGTGGAGCTGCGAGGTTGAAGTGGGGGCGCCAGCGGAGCGCCTTCCGCATAGGGCGGCTTACTATAGAGCCTTCCCGGCCAGGCTTGACGCGGCCGCCCTAACTCCGCCCCCGCCCAGCGACCGAAGGTGCGACTAAACAATAGTAACCTGTAAGGCGTTCAACCCTATAATGCCGATCAAATCGTCGGTCATTAACCTTTTACCGCCTCTGCTGATTTTGAATTTCGAATGCTGTAATGCCGGTGTCCAAGATTCATTCAGCCAGTGCCTGTGTATGTCAAAGATCGAAAGCTATAATGCCGATGTCAAGTCGTCGGTCATTAACCTTTAACCGCCTTGCTGATTTTGAATTTCGAATGCTGTAATACCGGTGTCATGTCCACGGTTCATTCAGCCAGTGCCTGTGTATGTCAAAGATCGAAAGCCAATGCCAATGACGTTGGTCCGTGTAGTCTGTAGTGTTTGTGTTGCTATTAAAAGTTGACGCAGTTGATGTCAGATCGTTCTCAGCTCAAAAATGACTGAGTTTTATTATATATGGTCCTTTAAAATTTAAAATGCTTTAAAATTTATTTTAAAACAATGATAAGTGCTCCTCTAGCAGCTATTTTTTTATTATTTCAGTTTTTGGACTGAGAATGAACTAAAGTCAGCTAATAGTTGTATTGCAGTTCGAGCGCTAGGATAATCGCCTAATTGTCAAATTCTGAACAACTGCATAATCCTGTTTGAAATTACTCTTTAAGATATAGAATCTCCTTTGAGTTTTTGTTGTATAACTAATTGCTTTAATATTGTCATATATATTTTAGTTTTGTTTTTTTACTACACGCTCAATGCTGGTGCTCAATGTTCTGTGTAGTCACGCATGCTTACACGCTATTGTTATATTATAGAACACTGACATATTTAGCCATTACTGATATAACAAAATATTTAAAAGCATAGAAAAACAGACATATAGACATATACTGATATGAAAATATTTATTTACAAATATTTATAAAAAATATGACGAGTAATTAGACAAGTGCATATGCATACTTGTCATTTAAGTGACATTGACACTGACATTTATATTTTTTTGTTGTTTTGTTTAATTACTCTGTGAATTTATTTGGTCTCGATTTTAATACTCTGTACTGTTTAGTATTAAGGAGTTTCTTTAATTCGGTGTTGTCTGAATATTTGATATAATTTAGTAATATCCCCGCTTGTAGCATGCGAATGTTTTGTGATTGTCTATGCTGTTGTTAGATTATATTAACATAGATATAAATTTTAAAACCATAGACAACTTTTATAATACTTCAAGTATTTTCAGTTACCTAGAAAAGAGTATTTGTTTTCATGTTCTAATTATTATGATATGTTTGTTATATTTTGTTTTGATAAATAATTTGTACTAGTTTATCTTTAGTACAATTCCTCTAATACTCTAACGCATAATAACAGAATTTATTTGAATTAATGTTAAGTTTATTTCTATAAACATTGGTATTATTATTAATATTTATTTATTAATATTGGCATCTCAAATATAGAATCTCAATTATGAGACTTATGGCTATACATTTTTGTAAATCACCTTATATACTTCAAGTATAAAATGTTTTGAAATTATAGACATTAATAAAATATAATAATAAATTATTTTTTACATACTAATAAAAATAATTATATTGAATAGTTTATAATTCATATGTTTATAGTACCTGTAAAATTAATATTATATTATGTAAGGTGCTAATTATATTTTGAGCTTTATTATAATGTGTTAAAGCTTTATTTTAAATATCAGTGATGTGCAGGGGCTCACAGAGATATATAATAATACATATATATAATATATAAGAATTATTATTAGATTAAAATAATATCAGTACAATGAAAATGTTAATTCCAAGTGATTGAAGATTCTATAGTGTAAAGAATTAATGCTATATAAAGAAGAACTATAGTTTAACTATAGTAGTTCCATATGAGTGATGCTTCCACAAGTTGTGATTTAAATGCATGTGTATCATAGTTTTTATATAAATAAAAATGTCCTTGCATGTAATGTAACTATTTGAGGAATATTATTTTAAGATCTCCATTCAACGGCAGCTCAGTTCATATATATGAAAAAGTTATAAAATTGCATGAATTGCATGTTTTATATTATTAATTGTGCAATTATAATATAATTATATTTTTTAATGTTAACTATATGTTGTAAGTTTTATTAAATAGTTCTGACTCTATGTACGCTCAAACAAATTTTAGGGAACTCATAATTATTAATGAACACAATATGCAGATTAATAAAGATGTTGAATTCTGAAAATGAGTATTTTATATCAAATTTATACCAGACCTGACCTTGTGAAGTTAAAACTAAATACTATTTATTTTGTTGTAAATATTTTTTTGTACGTTTTGGCACAATTGATAATGAGTTGAATAAAGGTTATAGCTTATCGCTTGAAGCTTTAACGCTATATGAATGTATACAATATTAAATTCAATATAAATTACAGAACTAATAGCTTGAAGCGTATTAAGAACGCTAAGTGGCAGGTGAAGGATTGTCCCCCGGAACTTTTGTTGGGAGATATTGGGAGACGACTTTCAACTGAGGTTACTACCGCTGCTATGGCGCAAAATAATAGAGCATTTGTTGAGAAACTATTGAAGGTATAGAATATAGCTATTTGGTGGTTCTTTGGCTTGTTTGTTATATAAGATTTGGTAGAATTTGTTACGCTTTATAGACTTAATGACAATAAAATTTTGTATACTGAATTACTTATAAATCTTTCGTTATATGTAAAACTGATAGGACTAGAAAAACCTATTGAGATAAACTTTGTATGATAAATCAATAAATATTACCAGCTACTACTAGCAATAACTTCAGAATTACTATAATTCAGTTCAATTTTTATAAATTTTTACTTTTCATAGGAATGTAAGAGCAAAACAAAAAGAATGCTTCTCGAAAAGATGGGTACAGAAGAAAGTGATTTGGGGCTTGGAAGTGAGATATCAATAACTGGTATAGAAGAAAGTACTATGATAGCGTCGCTATGTGATCTGTTGGAGAGACTTTGGTCGCACGGTCTGCAACACAAGATGGGGAAATCAGCTCTATGGATGCATTTAACAAATTACCAGGAATTAGAACAGTGCAGCAATTCTGCTAAACCTATAGACCCCAACTATCTGACGCCTGGTGAGTTTTTTTGCAGACCGTACTATGCACTAATTGGCTAATAAAACTGTTGTTATTCCTATTGTTTTTTGTGTGTCATAACATGCAGCTTTGGCTTGGTGTGTTCTGAGGAAACGACTCGATTGTAAGTAAGATAACTAATGAGATGAGAATTGGAAAGTTTTAATGATTGTCTTTGGTTATATTGATAAATTATTTATCTTTTTATCAAATGTTATCAGATTTATCATCTGTGGGCGCGGAAGTCGAACCTCAGCAGAATTCCAATCCGAATAGATCACGAGATAGCTCGCGAGGCGGATCCCGGGATAGTTCCCGCGATCGTCTCAGTAATTCTGGTACATTGGAACGAAAATCGCCTCCGAATCCACTTCGACCTTTACCCGAAAATCTAACATTCGATATGAGGTGAATGACCTCAAATTATTAACCAAAAATCCATACAACTTCTATTACTATTTACTTATATTATAATGATTTTTTCATGTATTTTTAAAGGAATGTGCAAGCAATGACTGATATAAAAACGGAAATCGGTTACGCTCGAGCCTGGGTGAGGCTTTCGCTCGAAAAGAAGTTGCTATCGAAACATCTGAGGGAACTTCTATCAGATACGACTTTATTAAGATCTCAGTACAAGAAAACCGCGTTCTTGCGCTGCGAGGAAGAGAGAGAGCAGTTCCTCTATCACCTTCTAACGCTGAACGCTGTTGACTATTACTGCTTCACCAATACTTATCCTACCACCAGTAAGTAATGCCTATTATATGGATACATATATACATGACATTAAAATATCATATATCTGATATAATAAATAAATTACACTGGGATCAAGAATTTATTCATTTAAATGAAACTAATATTTTTCGGATTATACTACGTTTCGGCCAGTTTTCAGAAACAGTGATCTCGTCTGCCGTAATCACGATTTTTTCCAAAAATAAAGTCTCATAGTAAAATCCGAAAAATATATGTTACATTTAAATAGATTACAACTGTTTAACACTAAATGGTTATATTTTTCATTAAAAATAGGCCCTAGTACACACAGGCAAATACTTAAGTCTCATAGTATAATCCGAAAAATATTAGTTTCATTTAAATAGATTACAATTTACAACGGTTTAACACTAAATGGATATATTTTACATAAGAATAAAGCCTAGTACACACAAGCAAATACTTATATACAGATAACACATACTAATTTTAATACCTAAAATATGAATATTTTTTAATCTTCATCAACAGAGTTGCCCTACCGAGTCCTCATAGTACCTTCTCGTAAGGCGAGTCAAACAACAGCCAACTGCTGGCTTTCCATATCTGGTGCTAATGGAGAATCAACACCAAAAATACCCATTCCAAGGAACACTAATGAGTTCGTTTTCCATGTGAGTATCTTGATACGTTACTATAAGTGCGTTGACAAACTAAACACCGACTGTATGCCGCTTTTTATTCATAAATAATGTCATATATTGAGTATGGATTGGCTTATGAATGAAAGGCTAAACTACTATGTGGGTAGTTTGATGGTGCGTTCCTGTGGTAAGGGCATTGAAATAAACTTTTTTTGTATTTATGCCCTTATGTACTACTTCAATAAACCTAACCAGATAACTTACTTTTAAAAAATACTTAGAAATTATTGGTGATTAACGTAATATAACACGCCTCTATTAAATATGCATATTATAAAAGTATGGAAGAAAATAAGTTTTATGTGCCACAAACTGCGGAGTATTTTTTTTTGTGCAAAAGAGTAATAAAGATTTTTAATAATTCCAGCACAAGAATTTGGGGATTCTGTCGACTCTTCGTATAGGTCATGATAACACTGGCTTATCACCCAAATGGTTATTGGACCAGGTCTATGTACGAAACGAAGTCACGGGACATACATACAAGTGAGTTACATTTATTATAATACGAAAAGACTTAATATGAATTTCATTAAACAATGTATAGCTTAAACAATGTACTCTATTTACATAGCAGTAGATGTCAATTTCATAGGAGTAGTGTAATTGTTAACTATGTTTATTTGTATGTCAATTGAAGGTTCATGTCGAAGAACTTATTATGTACACGATTTTGAACTATACCTTCATTCTTATAAGTCATACTTTACCGTATCAGCACTACAAACGAGTGTTGATGACGTCATAATTGCACTAACTACAGTTCAATTTAAGAACAATCCATGTATTTCATTTCAAGAATTGTATACAATCTAAATCGTTCTCTATTATTATGTCAATACGTGTCAGCTTCCCTTGTAAACGCTCAGTTCAATGACCACTATGTGTATACCATTTCAAAAATGGTATACAATCTAAATTGTTCTTTAATTCTATGTGTATACGTGTCAGATTCCCGTGTAACCGCTGGCTGGGTACCGGTGTGGATGACGGCAGTACTGAGCGCGTGGTGGTCGCGTCCCGCTCCCGCGCCCGCTCGCCCCGCACGCCCGCGCCGCCCCCCGCTACCTCACCTACTACCACACATCTATCAACATCTACGATACAACATATGATCGGTGAGAAAATCTATAAGTACTATAATAATTATCAACAGATAATATTAATTATTATTATCTGTTGATTTATGCTCTAATTTATAGTCTACTAGATTTCCGCCCGCAGCTTCGCCCGCGTGGAGTTATGTTATATCATGTTTCCAAGAGAACCTTTCAAAATTCTGGGATAAAAACTATCCTATGTTCTTTCTCAAGGTCAACTCTATGTATGTCTGTACGAAATTTCATTAAAATCAGTTCAGCGGTTTAGGCGTGAAAGCGTAGCAGACAGACAGACAGACAGATTTACTTTCGCATTTATAATATTAGTAGGGATGTAGTCAAAGATTTAAGTCTGTTATTGTAGCTTGGATATATAAGTCTAGCATCTGAATCCAAATTGACTTGGACATTTCAAATAGATAAGGAGATATCCGACCGTTATAAAGCAAACTTTATACTTCTTTATAGTTTTGTTTTTGGCAGTTCTGACACGATGGAAGCGTCCATCGACTTATTTGTTCCTTTAGCTGCATCTAACTGATGTAAAAGTTTTATCTCAATGGAGTATTTGATTCACGTGTCAAGTAGGAAAATATTATTTTATTCTATTCTGTATGAATTCTTTATACTGTGATACATAAATTAATAATTAAAATGGTAATGATGATTTCATTGCTTTTAAATAGAAGTTAGTTACAAAATATCTATTGTATGGCGTTGTATTGATGGCGTTAACTTTTCAAACAACAATATTTCAATGAAAAAAGTATTTATATAGAAATACCTAAATTAGATACTCTCCCCGAAGGTGTGGAAAAATTGTTTTAAGCAACATATAATATTTAATTCTCCAAAATTTACATAAAATGTTGTTGGAAACATAATACATATATATATATTAATTGTTCTACAGGTGACTGTGTTAACGCAATCGTCAAATGGCATTATCAATCTAAGAGGGATAAGGATGCCAATTCCTTGAGCGTGTTGCTCTGCGGTGAAAATGGACTCGTCAAGAGTTTAGAACAAGCCTTCCTCTGTGGATTTAAGTCAGCTCGACTGTTTGGGAAGAATCTCTTCATTTGGGACTATTTCGGTAATATACTTAAATAAAAATCACTACTAATATTATCTCATCTTTATCAACTACTAGAAGACCCGGCGAACTTCGTATCGCCCTATAATCAAGAAATATCTGCTACGTTTTTTTAATAAATAAATTTTGGTTATACCTTAGTCAGATACACGTGGTACACATAGCGCCATCTATTGAATACTTAACTCAGTCAACAGATAATTGTAATAATGACAAATAATTTTCTTTAATAAACAAATAATTTGCAATAAAATAATAATGTGACTATAAATTGATATTTAAGCTATCCTATCTTTCAAGTTGGATCAAAATGCACACAAATCAAATTTAAAATCGGTTTAGTAATTTAGGAGTCCATCGCGGACAAACACGTGACACGAAATTTTTATATATATAAAGATAATAACATAATTATAATAATATATAATAATAATAATAATAATAATAAACCTTTTATTTCCAATCTACATTTTTTTTAAACATTGTCTTTTGAATATATATATTACATATTAGCTTCGTTTCCATCGATCGGAACCCCTTTCCGGGTAAAGGCCTCCTCCAGCGTCTTCCAGACCTCTCTATCCATAGCCTTTTCCATCCATTCCCTTCCCGCTACTCCTTCTATATCTTCTATCCACCTCTTTCGAGGGCGACCTCTTTTCCTTTTTCCTCTTGGTCCCTTCCATATAATTGTCTCTTTGGTCCATCTTTTGTCCGTGTATCTCGCTATATGTCCTGCCCACTGCCACTTCTGTTTTAGAACATATTGTAGGGCGTCTATCACTTGCGTTTTTCGTCTTATTTTGACGCTTTTCACTTTTTGTATCCTTCTCAGTTTCAGTATGCTTCTTTCCATTGCTTTTTGGCACATTACAACTTTGTTTTTTATTTTAGTGTTGTAAGTCCACGTTTGGCATCCATACGTTAGAGTAGGTAAAACACAGGTATCCAAGACTGTTTTCTTTAGGTGGACAGGATATTTCCCTTTTAAGATTTCTTTTAGAGACCAAAATTTTTTCCAGCTCATGTTTATTCGCCGGTCTACCTCTTGAACTTCACCTTTGTCCTCGAATGATAGTTGTTTTCCTAGGTATATGTAATCGTTCACGTATTCTAGCGGTTTCCCGTTTAGGTTTATAGTGTTTATGCGACTGTTTGTCATTATTTTGGTTTTGTTCTCGTTCATTTGAGACCTACTTTTTCGCTTTCGTTATTTAAGGTGCTTATCATTTTTTCTAGTCGTTTACTTGTTTCGGCGAATAAGACAATATCGTTTGCGAATCTGAGGTGCGTAAGTCGATTCTGATTAACACGGATTCCTTCCGACCGCCAGTCGAGATTGTCAAAAATATGTTGTAGTACCATTATAAAGAGTTTGGGTGAAAGGGGGTCGCCTTGTCTCACTCCTCTACATATCGGTATAACAGGTCCTCGTGTCTCCAGTTTCACTTGGCTTACGCTACCCTCGTAGATGTTTTTTAGTACCTTTATATAGTTCTCGTTTATGTAGCATTTATTCAGCGCTTCCCAAATAGCGTCGTGAGAAATTGTGTCGAACGCTTTGGTATAGTCTACAAAAGCAATATATAGTGGTCTGTTGAACTCTTTGTATTTCTCAATTACCTGTTGCATTACTTGTATATGGTCATAATAATATATATTGTATATATATTTCAGCTCGAGTAAAAGACGAATTCAAAATGAGCCTCTGCGAAGATAGCAACCAGTCTAACAAGAGCTGCGTTGTTTACAACTGTAGACAAGACCAGGAACATCGTGCTATATGGAGGTGCTATTGTCATCTCATGGACGAGGTCAGCAGTGTTGGACGCACGCTGGGCAAGGATGGGAAATTCCAGCTATTTATATGTCTTAGCTTGAGGTAAATTAAAAGAAAGTAAATACAGTAATATCCCGCTTAACGCGAAAGATACGTTCCGAAGAAAATCGCGTTAACTGAAATCCGCGTATATCGAAGTTTATGATTAAACACAGTCAAAATTTACACAAATATAAAAATCATTTTAACCAATCACTTTAATTCTAAGAACACTATACAATACATAGGTACTCCTATTTTTTACGAAAAAATACATGTTTTGTCTTTTGGGTAGCGTTTTGTTTACGTTCTTGTAAAAAGCGTTCATAACACCAACCACTGTTTTTATTCGTTTGACACACGTTCAAGACACGGTCATCATTATTGTCTATACTCTGCAATGTCCCAACTTGAATAAATGTTTGAAAATCGCGTTATAGTGAAACCGCGCACAACGGGGTCGCGTTAAGCGGGGTATTACTGTAGCATATTTTGTTTGCCAGTCAATTCTTTAGACTTATTTTAACTGATTTTTCTACCATTAACATATCGTCCTTTAGTTCACAACAACGCTTAAGTCATTTTTACGAACTTTACAGGAAAAGAAAAAAACTGTCTACTTTAAACTATATGTGTTTTTTCTATTGCTTCTTAGTACATACTCTAATTAGCGGTTAAGAAGTATATATTTACACATTTTGACGATTTCCGTTCGACGCGCAATGCGCTTCATCCAATGGCATTAAAATGTAAAAGACGCCAATTTTCGACTTCAACGGTGTTGCTAGCTAAGGGACGATATGTTTTTTTTATTTATTCTAGCTAATAAATGCACTTTTTAAGCTAAAACTATTATATTTTATATTACAGGGAACACTGGCTTCATAGAATGTTAGTACCGATGTCATTGACCCGGGTCACTACTGAGATGTATGAAGAACAAAGTTTTATGAGGAAACGGGGCCTTCTTACATTCTTAAGGCAAATACTTGAACCGTTGGACGAATTTGACATAGTACTGGAGAACTCACTAACACAAGGCATTTAATGATACAAATGATTCATGATATTAGTACTTGTGATTTTTGTTAAGAGAGCCATTAATATTTTTTTCTTGGAACGGTCAGGAAGATAGATTAAGTCACATTAAATACTCGTAAATTATGAATTTATTGTTATATTCGGGGTTAATTTTTTATTAAGTTTTTATTTTTGTGATTTATTTTTTTTTACTTGCCAGTTGAATCCAAAGATTTTGATGCACGCTAGATTTAAGTAATGTTTCACTTATGGAATTTAATTTGCCTGTCATTTAGACGCTAGTGGGATTTATATGTAGATGCCATTTAGAAGCAATGTTCATGACACAAATTATATTTAATTATAGCAACACTAGAGATTCGTCGTTAATATATGTGTTTTAATATACAAAAAGCCACTGCTGGACGGAGGTTTTAATTAATTGAACTCTCGATGGATATATTCTAGAACTTTCCTGTTTATTACAACTATAAAACCATAGTGCATGCATTCTTAATTATTTATAATTATTTTATTTAAATATATTATAGATTTGAGACAAAAATCATGTCAAAAGTGAATCTCATGGAACTTGTAGTCTATCAATTGCTAATTAATTCTTTTCTATTAGTTTTAGTACAATTAATGTTACTGTAATGATTATGATATTGTCAATTACTCCTTAACTTAACACAGAATATTACTAGTGTATGCAAACTCCATAAAATAACAATAAATATTTTTCAAACATAATTAAATCACATAAAAAAATCTCCTCTTTGATCACATATCATGGAAAATAATTCGTTAAGTAAAAAACAAATTTTTACTTTTTATCCTTCATTATTTGAATTATTAAATTATCTTAAAATTTTGTAAGACTAAATTTAAATTAATATATTTTTGATTTAATATTGTTTTTTAAGTGTTTATATTTTTTTACTCACATATTAATTTGCAATATCATAAAATTGGGTTCAAATTCTGAATGTGATTTAAACATTGTGTCTATAGTTTAAACGCACAAAATAATAATAAAAGAAAGTTCTTGTAATTATTACTATTTGAATCCCAAACATTTTTCTTTTGAGATTATTAGCTGATAGGATTTGCATCAACTTCATATTGTAAAGAATAATTATTTTTAATAGAATAACGCATGTTTATGTAGCATGTTAATATAAATCAGAGTTCAGAGTAGTTTAAAATATATAATAAACAATGCACCTTATTTATATTGTAATAGAATTTATTTTTGTGAGCTTTAGTAGATTTTTGCTTCTAGATATCATCAGAAAAAATATTCTCAGAAGCAGATATTAGAGAGGGGTTGTGACGGCACATTAGGTTATTTGCTTTGCACAAAATATTATATAATGATTATACAAATATATATGTAAATGAAACCAATTAAATTGTATCTACTTATGTATAACTTCAGGGCTGTCATCTTGTAGTTTTATGTCGAGAATTATAAAGAAATTTCTATCAAGTTATTCAATTGTTCATTACTAATTATATTCTTCTGGGTAAAGATTTTACATTACATGGTATGTTTACAATAGAAACTGAGTAAGTAAAGAGAAGTTCAGACAAAAATTTAACAGATGGCAACCCTATATATTTAAGCTATTTCGGTGTATGCCGTCCTGCACGGTTGTAAACGTGTGTATCAATATGCCGTCACTTGTAACATGAAAAAAATTAAGTTTGTGCCAAATTTAAAGGAATAAAATTCTATTCAAACAACTTATGAAATCACCATAAAATATAATAATGTGGCAATTGCATGTGACTGCGAAAGCTCAAAATACTCCCACCATTTAGTAGAATTTATTATATTATTTTCTTGTATTTATTCTAAGGAGTGCGCATATTATATGTATGAAAAATATTCCATTTTTTTACTTATATTTTTTTATAAAACAAATTTAAAATTTATTAAAAACTATATACTCTAATTTTCAATTAATATTTTTGTTATTATAATTTTTTAATTACGTCTTGAAATCTGAGAGTTTTAGATTTTAATTCTTTATAATGTCTTCCTAAATCAATCATCTGTACCAAAGATAACTGTAATATTCAAATGAAAATAAATTTAAATGAAATAAATGCGTATAAATTATAAAACTTGCATTTTTCTTTTAAATCCATGCCTTCATTTCTTATTAGAAAAAAAAACAAAACATAGTGAAATATGAAACATCGTATGTTATTACGTGCAACATAAACGTATTATTACGTACATAGAAAAAAACATGAAAAAATAAAGTTACATTTTTAAATTCGATTGAAAACGAAACGTAATTATTACACAGTATAGAAATAACGTATTTCGGCATGTAATACATTCAAGGTGCGTTTTAACTTGAGACTCCCGCGTAGTTACGTCATCGTAACCTTGAGAACACTCGAATTATTCCCGCCGTGTCCCAGAAAGTTCAACCAATTTGATGTATATCTTTTTCTCAAACGTCAGACATATTTGACCGTTTGTAATTTGTAACTGTCAAATACATTGTTATTTTTAGTAATACATTTGATTTACTTTAAAATATACGATAGGAATTGCTAAAATACTATTATAGATTAACATATAATAAAAATAGAAAAATAAATTTGCTATTCAGACGTAACAAAAATTATAAATGGAAGGTCTTTATAGAATTTTAAAAAAATCAAATTATGTATTTGAGATTATTTACGCCGTGGTGTTGTATCAGTTTAATTATTTCTTTCAATATTTTATTATTCAATTTAAATAAGATGTTAAATTCAATAATAAAATAAGATATTGCAGCGTTTAGTTCCTTTTCAATTAGTTGTAGACATAATATTAAGGTTTACTGTAATTATTGTTATCAAGTTGTAGTTTATTTTAGTTAAAGAGACGAACAAACTGATCGTGAACTTTATATATAATAGGGTACCACCGCCATTGGTTATGTGAAGGTGATATTCCCGGTCAGCTATGGAATCTATATGAACATTGGAAGGGATTATGGAATTGTACTGAAAATATTGAAACTTATCGGATATTCTGTCAAGAAGTCTAGTGGTTCAATAAGGACCCTATTTTTTTCGAATTTCAGCACCTAGTGGTAAAATTTGAAAGTGTAACCAACTTGTCCTCGAATACATTTCTTAATATATGTTTTTGCAATCTTAAAATTAGACAGTTGAAGACCCTAATGTTTAATTGGCATATAAGTATTTAGGAAATGAATTATTTCAGGCGACGATATACAATTGACAGGAGGCATGCTTTTGCGTATTTAAAAAAATGTGGTAAGAGACCATTTGTCGTAGCATACGATAATCGAAATTTGGACGCAATTTGCAAATGCAAGTAAATAAAAGAAGCTTATTCAAAAAAACATGAAAACCTAAAAATTATCATAGACGGATATTACCCTCTATTTATAATTTTTACTCTATGATTTGTTGTATGAAATGGTGGGAAAATCGATTTTCTCTTATATTTTTCGTGGATTATTCTATTAGTTTTATGCCATTAAAAGCAATAAGAAATTCTTCATACAAAAACTGTCATCACAATTTTTTATATCAGACTATTGCCGAACAAAGCGATAATTCAGATGTTCTAGAATAAAAACTTTAATGAAAATATCTATGATTTAAAAATTAAGTTAACTTGCTAGCGTGTCGGTTATTTTATATTACATTTGCAAAAAGAAATATCTTGAACTTTTTTGCGGTCGTATATTTTAATCCATTCCTTAGTTTAGAGCAGTTTATTCATAATAATTCAAGAAATCTTGCAATTCGATGGATTTTCATTTAGTTAGGAGCCTTCTCTGACGAATTTAATTTGATAGAATTTTGACAATCGACTTTAAAAAACTTTTATATAATATAAGTCTTTATTACTAACGTATAAAAAAAGAACAAAGTCAACTGCTCTTACTTCACGTATTGGTAAATAATAACTTATTACGTAATCTTTACATTAAACATGGTGTAGGTTGTTTCGTACGCGCAACATATTAAAAAATAAATGAACATCGCCGGGCAATATCGTTGAATGGATAAATTATCATGTAACGAATGACGTTGCTGAACCAGAAGATTCCTCATACCACACAAGTTATGGAATGGCATTGCTGTCCTAACATCGGGGCAATCATGTAGTCTTAGGTATAGGTTATAAGTTTTAATATGTAATTCTTATTATAATATACATATAAGTAAGTTTCGTAGTTTTCCAGGAACCTCTGGTTGCCATCCTACTTAATTAGGTTATAAATTTAGTTTATAAAGAGGTTTTCATATGCTTGGGTGGTTAGAATTCCACAATATTTGAGTCGAAGGAAATGTCAGTTTTACTCATAAAGGTCGGTTATTTTAAAAATAAAAATAGTTCTTAGTTGTTACTTTTTAATCAATCGGCGTCTCTAAAATTTTGCAAATCCTAAAAAAAAGTCTATAAAGAAATCAGATTTTTTAATTTCTTTCTTTAGAATAATTATTTAAACAAAATATTTAACCTCATCAATAAAAAATAAATTAAAAAGTATTTCCATTACATTCATGAAGTTTTTAAGAAATATATAAACTTGAATACGACATTCTGTAGATGGCGCTGTATCGCTTGTTGTACGGTGGTCCGTACGACATTCGACAAGTAAAATGGCGGCGATTAATGTGAAAGGCGAAACGTTGTCTTATTTCAACTTGTAAATAGAGTTATTGGTATTCTAAAATATTATTTTTAATAGAGAAAGAGAAGAATAATTCATAAACAAAGTGTTTTGGTAATAGTTGTGTGTGGTATATGACAAAATTTGGTGATTTTCCATTTCACAATAGACAAAACCCGTCGCAACGAGCACTCGAAGAGTCGAGGCCATATTTATGATGTTATCTGTCGTGTGAGCGTCCTCTGAAACCACATTGATAAATGGTTATTCAAAACTGATGCGATGGTATGTTCCCTCACACAAATACTCTCAGTTAATAACAAGTTCGTCTCAACAAATCTCTGCATTGTTCAAATATATTGACGCTACTGTGACTACCGCGCATTATTTTTATTTTGCTATATTTTGATTTAAATCAATGCATTTGTTTTTGTCTTATTCGATCATAGAACATAATTTAGATAAGAATAAAAGTGTCATAAATTATAATACATTAAGTAAGTTTATTTTGTTTCCTGTCGAATAACGTTAATGTTTTTTTTTCTCATTTCAGGAGTGTTATGTTTACCTGAAGATCAATTAAGCTATACAGTATGACTTCAAGTGCTCCGATTTAGTGGTAGTTGTTTTGTATTTCCGTGTATAACAAACTATGGATGACAGTGTGGACTTCTATTGATAAATTACATACATACATTAACACTACACAAGGCAACACGGAGGTGGTAATGGATCCAGTAGGACCATGGTCAGCATATGCTTCGTACAATCGGCTAGCAGGAGTACAAGCTGGTGCTGCGAGTGGAGATTTTCATCACCATCTGGCAAGCGGAGGAACTGGATTAGGCAGCCAATCTGTGCCTTCAACGACTAGCCAGATATTGCTTCAGGCAGCTCATACTACGGCATCGTTAGCGGGACAACTCGGCTCATCTACTAGCTCTCCCTTCAACCCTGGTGGTTTCCTTTCTCCACCCACTGTGGGGTATGATGCAGTTTTCTCACCTTTATTTCATCATGCCAACCCAAAACCGGCACATTATAGTTCATCCCTACAGGCGCAGCACCGTCAAGTGATTGCCCAAGCGCAGGCAGCGGTTGCCTCTAAACAATCTTCAGTAGAAAGTGAAATTTCCTCATTAAGGGAAAATTATTCCCATCAGACGCTAGCCGCACAAGGAACATCGTTTTTTGATCAACCGACAACACCTGGCAGTACGGCAGGTTTGAGTTGGCAAGGAAACAATCAACTTCCCAGTCCATTTGGAATTCTACCTCATGAAAGTGTTGTGCCCTCATCGCCGAGTCCTGCCACAACAAAAGCATCAGCGACATATGAAAACTTTAATGCTCACTTTGCTGCGGCACAAACTCTCAACAATCACCTCAACTCTCAAATTTCCAGTGCCGGTAAACAAACAAACAGGTCGGGGTCACCCGCAACGGCGACTAAACAGCCGGCTTCATCGACATCATCTTCAACTTTTTTTCAATCTCCTTCATCTTTTGGAAACCAGTCTGATAATTCGTACAGTTCAAGTGCAAAAAGTGGCCAACTCCCATCACAGCAGGATTATGCTGGAAGTAAGTCATATTCAAGTTCTGCAAGTAATGCTGTTCACTCCCAACAATCTTGTATAGTGTCAACTCCATCAGTAACATCCTCTCCTCCACATCCCAGCAAGGATTACCGTTCACCTCCTTCCACTTCTACCAGATCGTCTGCCACTATATATAATTCACCTAAGAATTCTTCCAGTGAAAAAAGCTCCCACACATCATCTAGTAGTAGTAGTGGTTTTGTATCTCCCACATCCAAACCTCCACAAATACAAACGAAAGCACAAAGTAAAATTTACCCCGAGTTAAGTTCAGAGCAAAGGAAAATCTGTGACACAAATGACAAAATCCAACCCCAGTCTTCCCCTATAAGTTACTCTATTATGGATAGTCCTGGTAGATTAAATTTTACTTCCAGTACTGGAACCTCATCTAAGACAAATAGAATTGGCAGTTCTCAATATAATTCAACACAAAGTTCAAGTTTTAGGCATTATCAAAGTGGAAATAATGTAGAGTCAGAATATCATGTGAGAGCTAAAAGTAGTTCTAGTACTGATACTGGATATTCCAGCAGTAGTTCTCAAAATGGACCTGATTGTGGTGTTGTAGTTACTAGAAGGCATAGTCCTTTGCAGACGGCCCCTCAAACCTCGCCTTTGGGTCACGGTTCTAGTCCAGCCTACCCATTATACCATAGTCCTATGAATTCTATCAACTCCCCCCAACAGCTTGGGGATCATTACAGCAAAGTGAATAATGCTGCTCCCAGGTCACCTTTAGATGCTTCTGTCTCTCGACCACCCTCACAAAACAGCCAAGTGGCTTACCCTTCCGTCATAACAAGAGCCTTAGGAATTGAACAAAGTAAATCTTATAGTGAAAATAGATATGAACGTAACCAAAATCAGCCAACAACTCAAAGTTGTTGGGAAACAGAGAGGCAATCCAACAGAAAATTTAGTAGTGTTGGTATGAGTAGGAGCAACAGTTCCAGTAGCTTCAACGGTTTAACTGAAAATAATACTCATCCTGAAAAATCCTCATCTCAGTCCCAGAGTTCTAATGAAAAATTATTAAGTTTGTCTGAAAGACATCATAATTATATCGAGGGCAGTAGCGTAGCTTTACAAGATCTCTCTAGTTGTCGCGGTGATCCTATGAGTATAGTTAAGAATCTTCAAAGTTTACAACAAAGTTGTCAAATCCAAGATAGTAAAAGTACTAAAAGTTTAACCCCAGTGTCCAACTTGCCGCCCGCAAGTAAATCAATATCCAGACGAAAAAGTACTGAAAAAGTAGTCCCACATACCAATATGAATGACATTTCCAATGCCGTAATGGCAGATTATTTAGCTAATAGAATACCACCACCCGCCCATAGTTCTACGAGCCAGCAACAAAACGGTAGCTATTTTGATTTCGAGAGATGGAACCTCCCGCCCCCTCCACCTAAAATGTTTCCCGGAGCTTCAGCGTTCGGTTCCCAAGCCCCCCTACACGCCACTAACTTCAACCAGCACCAAGCCTTAGCCATGCAGCACGGTCACACATTAACCTATTTTTCTCCCTTCCATCTAGGCCACCATCCCGATTTCCAATCCTCTGTGGAGTTAACACCTCTATCATCATTTAGTGAAACTCCACCTTCGGCTTCCTCGTCATCTTTTTCCACCCCAGAAACTCGTGAAGAGGAACAGCCCAAGGTGGTAGTACCTAATATAGAAGAAGAACTTGGTTTCCTTGCAGAACAACGCGCAAATACTGCATCGACGGTAGCACCCACTTCACAGCAGCAGAGCATTAACAGTACTTCACAAGACGCTACTTCAAAAATAATGGAAAAAAAGTTCAATGTTCCCGTTACGGGCCCCGGTTCGGGATTCATGGCTTCCTATTTGAAATTTTTACAAGGAGAGAGAGATACCTCTCCTCCGCCGGCCGGGCGAGGCGCCAGGAAATCTACATGGTCGAGGAGCAACACGAACAGTGGCACGAACAATAAGACGTATCCCAACGACCATAACAAAGGCCAGTGCGAGACGAACTCGTCGCAGAGCGCGAACGGCTCCATGGCGACCATAAACTCGGGCATGGTTCTGAGCAACCAGGCGCACCCCTCGGCCGCGCTGCTGCCGCACGCCAAGGCCGTTGAGGCGGACGACTCGCGCTACTACGGTCTGAACAAAGACAGAAAGAGAAAGTACGACGGCTCGGAGGAGGGGGGCTTCGAGGACGAGGAGGCGCGCCGCCTCAACAAGCCCGTGCTGAACGTGCCCAGCACGCCGCTCAGCGACAAGGGCAAGAAGGGCCGGGCGGCGGGCGTGAGCAAGGCGCCGCCCTCGGCCCTGGTGGCGCCGCAGCCCGCCGCCCCCAAGAAGCCCCGCGCCGCCCCGCAGCCCGCGCCGCCGCCCCCGCCGCAGCAGCAGTACTATTACCAACCGCAGCCCGAGGAAGGTGCGTTCAATTTGTTAGATTTCCACTTGAGAAGTAGAGCGCGATGGTGAATGCTAGCCCTGAAGCTTGTATGACAGGAGCGAGCTGACCGACTGCCGTGAAAACTTGTTACATTTTAACTGTGATATGTAAAATTTTATTAGATGAAATCTATTATTATTCACTGTAAATAATGTATGATGAGAATGTGATGTGCCTCCGATGGAAGGTCCATGTTTAGGGTTAGCCTGTAACAAGATTTCACACCGTTATTTGTTAATGACACATTATTAGTGCCATTTTATTGTAAATTGTAGATTTGTGACTCTTGTCATACTCGCTATTGAAGGGGTGCTACCATTAATAATTCCAAAATGTGGTATATTTTTGTATGGGATCGAGACCGGCGGTGTCCGTTGTATATACTAAATAATGTATTGTATTTTACAGTATTTGAGTTTAGTTGGTACCTTTGAAATTGTATACATATACCTTGCTGTTAGCCGAAAGTGATTTTATATTATAAGGAGATAAAAAATGAATGCATAATACATTGACAGCTATAATCTAGTGCGGATAATGTATTAGAAGGCTATGCCGTGGATATAAGTTTTGTATTTCTATTTAATTGTTATTTGTTTATGCACAATTCTCAATATTTTATGTAAATACTTTTGTATAATAGGAGAAAACATAAAATAAACTCGACTATATTACTGATATGTGTTAAATAATTTTAGTTTGTAATTATTCCTGGTAGCACCCTTCACTTCGCCAAATAGGGATAACATGTTCATGTTGTATGTTGTTTTGTTGATTGATTGTATGTTTATTAAATACCACACTGTGTACATGTTATCACGCATGGCGACTACTTCACCATTTGGCTTTCCCTATCCTGACCGTTCCCACCTTTTGAAACACCGATTTTTATAATATTTAACGTACCATCACAAAAAAAGGTAATGTAAACAATGATTTCATCTCAATATGTGTGTGTATAACATGTTTGATATAATATTTGTATATGTTTTAGTTCCCTCACACACAGTCTTGGGTTACGGTGTGTATGGCAGCGAAGGAGATGCGACCTCGAACAGGAAATTGCATCATATAAAGCACCAACAAGTATCGAGCACAGCGCAGATTGACAATAGACCCATCGAAGAAATGCCTTACCAGGTTGAGAAAAATATATTTTATTAGCTGCGCCCCGCGGATTTCCGGGATGTAAAAGTAGCCTATGTGTTATTCCTGGACGTCAGCTTATTGTATACAAAATTTTATCAAAATCGGTTTAGCCGTTTGAGTGTGAAGAAGTAACAAACATACACACACCCTCACAAACTTTCGCAATTATAATATTAGTAGGATTCTAATTTTATGACAATTCAACAGTAACTACTAAATATTTAATGTAGCTTTATAATTTATCAATTTACATTTGTGTATTGTTTTAAATAATTATAGTAAGTTTAAGAAATAATTTTCCTTAATATTTTCAGCTGTCTAATATTGTTGTCTAATTGAGTTTATTATATTTCCAGTCTGGCGAATTTGTTGCAATAAAGAGTGAATTAAATGAGATGTGGCCGGCTATATGGAGAGTGGACGGCAAGACGCTGTTACAGAAGTATGAACCGTTTGAAAATGATGGAAAAGTACTGTATAGGAATATATCAACGGTAAAAACCTTTTAATATTATTTAATATATCGAAAACTTGATTACCTAAATCACTTTTGAAACTCAGAGCATATTTACCACCAAGCAATATATAATCTAATGATTTAAAAACTATTGAATTGATAATATGATATCATAAATAATAATCTTGTCTGGTGTATAAACAAACCTTTTCAATAATTTTCCAGTATGCAGCATGGAATCCTGAGAATAAAAAACTCTATACCCAAGTCCCAGTGAAAGTTCGATCGCAGTCCCATTTAGAAACGATAGTAGAATTAGTGAGAAGCGAGTTGCAAGGGGATGAATGTAATTTTATAGAAAAAAGGATGTTAGAAACACAAATGTACCAAGAAAACTTTGAAGTTTATATACAGACGTTAATATCGCACGCTTTGGATCCAAATTTCCTCACGGAGATTTTCCAAGAGCAAGGTAATTTTACCATGTATTAATAACTGTAAAAATAAACTAAAACACATACAAATTAATGATAGTAGTTATATCTAAGTTATAAAATTCCTACTCCTGATAATAAAATATAATTGCAGATGTAATGAAAAAAATATCTATCTTATTTATCTCATATATTTCATGTATCCACAACTGATCTCCATATATTAAATATACGTTATTGAACAATATATCACAGTGTTCTCGATTTATTAAATATATTAAATAACTAGCTTTCTGCCCGCAGCTTCGCCCGCGGGGAGTTCGGTAATATCGCGTTTCCAAGAGAATCTTTTAAAAGTCTCTGATAAAAACTATCCTATGTTCTTTCTCAAGGTAAACTATATCTGTACCAAATTTCATTAAAATCAGTTCAGTGGTTTAGGCGCGAAAGCGTAACAGATAGACAGACAGAGTTACTTTCACATTTATAATATTATTAGGGATAATTTGATTAATATTCAATACTTATTTGTCAAGAACATATTCTGACAACTATCCAGATTCTCAATCTAATTTTCCAACTATATTATGTACTAATCTTACATTGTTTATAATGAATCCGTATTGATCATTCCAGATGAATATATCACATTATTCTCTATTCATTAAACAAAAATTTGATTAATATTCAATACTTATATATCAATAACATATTCTGACACCTATCTAGATTCTCAATCCTATTTTACAACTAAATTATGTACATACTAATCTTACAATACTTATAATGAATCAATATTCAACATTCCAGATGAATACTTCCTATCCAACGTCAAAACTGTTGACGAAGTGACTGAAAGTATGCGTCAACGCGTGTCGTGTAGTAACGCGAGGTCGTTGGATGCAGCCGTGGATGTGTGGCCAGGGCTGAGCGTCGCAGCGGGAGGCTCCGGGGCCTGCCGGGCCTGCACTAGGCCCGCTGTGGCCCGATTACTGCTGTATGGACAACCCTATAACCCAGCAACCCTTGAACCTGTGCAACCTAACGCCAGGCTCGCATATGAGAAGGTTATATTATACTTATATATGTAGTGGGCAAAATCTGTTTTTTAATCTTAGGTTTCATGCTTTGGATTATATTGATCCAAATTTTATGGATTATGCAAATCAGAATATGGTTTATATTTCTTGGGAAATTTGTACGATATGTCGAAGGCAAACTGTTAATGTCATTTTATAAAACATAAGTAGAGCATTATTTTATAATTCGAAGCGCCATTTTTCTCCTGTTACGTTAGATAAGGTTGATGTTTATGAAATGCAGAAGCCATCTGTAGATGGACATATCATACAAGTTGCCTACGACATTTAAATGAGAATTAAAATTCCAATAAAAGCTATATCTATATGTAAAATTATTTAAAACAAGCACCATCTCACAATATAATTATAGGTACTTCCATATATTTGTTGTTATGAGTAGTAATTACTGGAAATTGTATTTATTTGTTATATTAAGATTTCTCACTAATATCATTGACGTTATACAAGAACAGCTATGTTTTTAACTTATTTTTTCATTAATAAAAGCTGTAACTACAAACAATCATAGGAATAAGAAAATTAACAGAAGAACCGCAAGTTGGCGCCACTGTCATAATCTGTTGTTAGCCTTTAATTAGTTTTTTCTTTAAATCATGTACCAGTGAATTCTTTCATTCAGAATAGTATTTTTCTGAATTATGTTAATATAATATTATATTAATTGCCTTTAAAAATTAATAGTTTGCTACTTGCTTCCTTATAAGATTTGGCAATTTTATTTATTTCCATTCATCAATGCAAGTACCGTCAAAGTCTACATATTATAGGGAACTAATGTATAAATACTCTTTAATACTTTCACATATATGTATATTACATAATTCTATTTTATTAAATAATATATCCTTTCTCATTACAGGAATTCCTATTATGCACAACATGTTGCGGTCGAGTACAATTATACTCTAGAATATCACATCAAAAGTACCTCATGTATGCTGAGTGTAGTAAACGTGTGGCTGAGAAGAGGATGCAGAACCCCAGTAAAGACACAACAGACATACTCAACGAACTATTAGCGGACGAGGTGTGGCTGTCACAGGTATATACATATATAACACTTGACTAACAAAATTAATGTAAAAAAAATAAATTTTGTTTCATATGGTATTCTTCTTCCTGGCAATTTTCCCATATTTGAACAGGGTCTGCCTTGCATGTTGTGAATAGTTTTGGCTAATTGTTCTTACGACCGGCCGCCTGCCTGACATCAACCCTCTTTGGGAATGCATTAATCAGTGATGTCTAAATAATCTTAGAAAGTACATATGGCTCGGAAAAATCACATTGGTACTTGCCAGGATCGAACCCGCGCCCTCGTGCATGAGAGGCGGACCTTTTAACCATTAGGCCACCACTGACTATTGATTACACTTATTCCGAAGTTATTGCGACATATGTTTTTCTTTGAGTAGTATTTATATACGAAACAATCAGTGACAATAGTAGTGACATATGTTGTAAATAAAGAGTTAATATTTATATATCAGTAGTAGTACCAGTTATCTTACCTACTGTTAACAAATTTTAAATTACATTTAAATGTAAGTTACTAACTGGAAAAATTACAATTAATTATAATTGTAGTGCAATAAATTCTAGATTTTGTCTCCTAGGTATTATAGAATAATTGTGTTTTGATAAGACAGGAAAGAAAAATATAACAGTCAGAAAATCTTGTTACACTTGGTTCTGTAATTTAAATAATAGCCAACACTATTATTTGTTATAGGTATATAGTTTATTTTTAGAAACTTCTCGTTTTGTGTTTAAAATTAATATTATAGAAATTTATATGATATTATTATAATAATTTAATTCTCATTCCAGTTGTTCCGTGACGTTCGACATTCGTGGGCTGAAGCGGAATCATGGGAAAGGAAAATGAGACAGGTCATGACACGACAAATGATTTAACATTGAACATATGCCAAAATAACAAAGGACTGTGTATAATTAACGTTTTATACCTGTGAGATATATGTATGTATGTAATATTAATATTTTTATGACACGCGTAAGTCACGCCAGCTGCGGGTAAGCATCACGTATTATTAGTTGTCTTATAAACGGTTCGTTGGATTGGCTGTTACTTACATATAGTATCGGTTTGTTAATTTGTTAGTAGCGGTGCCATTTTTGCTTTGTGGAGACGCAAAAATAGTATACTGTATGATTTGTGATTCTGTCGTTTATTTTATTAAGTACCGTCTAGAGATGTATTTGAATGGAATGGTATTAATGTTAATTTTATCGATTTTTTTTATGAGTTCAAACAAATGAATTTTACTTTGACGATGGCGTTGATAACTCTGTTGTATACTACTTAAACCGTCAATGATCTTAGCCAAATATAAAGTAGATATTGGTGAACTAGCAAAAGGTCAATGACTCATCTCTAATAATAAATGGCCTTGTATAAATGTATTGCGGAATTTGTTAAATAATAGACAATATGTAATAGAAAAACCACACAAATATTTTTATGTATATAAATAAGATAAATTGTCATAATGTGCAATGAATGCTCACTGGGAACAAAATTAATTTAAATTGTTTTGTACATTTTAATTTTTTTTTATCAAAGCATTTTAACATCATGTTTTGGGAATGTGCAAGTATATATTTTTTTCTAAATCTATTGAAATCAAATAATAATCTGTGATGTTAGACAGATATACCTCTACATACTTTATTGAGAACTACACAATTTCTAGACTGATTTATCATCACAGGAACAAAGTATATATAATATAATTAATTTACTATCAACTTCAAAAATATTTCCTTATTTCTAATATCTTTCTTCTTTCACATACAAAGTCCGAACAAAACTTGTGAGATATCTTGGAATTGAGGGAAAATGAGATCTGTTATTTTATCTATTGCCTTTTTTATATAAATTCTTTAATTATAAATGTCTAGTAAGAAACGAGAAATTATTATTATATATCGTGGCGGATAGTGCAAATCCGCGTCACTACCATTGGATAATTCCGCGTATCCACATTAGAAGCAGATTAGCAGAAGAAAGTTTAAGCTGAAATATTTTCTATATTAACGACTTTTAAGGTAATTTTTTCACAATTAGTAATTATTTAGTTTTTAATTTATTACTAATTGTGAAAAAATTGCCTTAAAAGTCGTTGATTTAGAAAATATTTCAGCTCAAACTTTCTTGTGATAATCTGCTTCCAATGTAGATACGCGGAATTATCCAATAATGGTATTTACTCGGTTTTGCACTATTTCCGACGATAATTTTATGAACAGACTATATGTAGGTGCTGTATTTTTTATTATTTTATTACACTAATACAACTAGATTATTTATAACTTCTGAATATTATTCAAGATTTGATTTTTAAAATATATTATTCTCATAAACGTTCTCAAATAAACCAAAAAACATTTTAATGAGTTCCAATGAAAATTAGTAATGAAATAATTTATTATATCACATTCCTGAAGCTTATTATTTTGTATAATTTTAAAATGATAAATTTATTAAAAAGTGATGTTTAGTTTTTAAGTTAGTTCACATAATTTATAAATGAACAAAGCGGCGTTTATTATATGTAAACTATATATATAACTAAAATATAAGTACACTATTAGATTGTATTTTGTATACTTACATTGGGTTGTATAGTTTTAATATGATGATGCCCACAAACATACGTACAGCAGAGAAATTATATAGACTTATAAACTTGCCGACAAGTTAGTATGGGAGGAATTAATTTATTTTGTTCTGGTGAGACGAGATGGCTCACTCGTTTTGACACTTTCATATACATCATAATAAATGGCAATTTTATCAGAAGCTTTTTTCTTTCATTTACAATAAAAATACCTGTTTTATCAACCCTATAACTAAAGCAGTTTACCTTTTCATTTGTTGACAATTAACCATGTATTGACTATTTACAAAAAACAAATCCGCGTAAATGTTAATTAAAACTTTTATACAGAATCTGTAATTAACGAGATTAAGTGGACTAATTGTTTTAAATAATATTATTAACACCAACTTGCTATTGTGATTTTCAAGTGATTCCAAAAATATGTTTTTATGAAAACACATTTTAACAAAGATATAACGCGGGAATCAATGTCAAGATTTGGACACATAAATGAATTCCATACTTTGATACTTAAAAACCAGAAACCTTGTATCAATCACTCATTCCCCTTACAGAAACCTTTACCCCAAGTCGACAAATTGTAACAATCTGAAATATTAAAACAAGTTAAGTAAGCTCTAAAATATTCAAGGCATCCATAGATCAGATTTTGTACACTGTCTATGGCTCATATTTTGATGGTCGCAAAAGACAAAACCTAGATTTCCTGTTGACGTCACTTAAGCTTTATTAATTACTCTTTGTAATTATAGAATAATTTAAGTTTGACAAACTAATTCTAATCTGCTTATCTGTGGGCATAATTTTGCTTAGAATTTGCGCTTCAGTATAGATTACCTAGAAGATTCTTATTGGGTACAGTTGCCGCCACGTAACTTGGCAAGCGATGTTAGATGCTCAGATACAATTTTTAGGTGTCATAGGCATAATGTGGGACGCTGGGAACGACACGGCACAATTACATGTGCGTGATTGGATGTTCGCTCCTGAGTAGAATCGCGAGCACTTAAATTCAACCCATTGTTTTGAAGTAAAACTTCTTTACATACCCTTGGGAGTAATATGCTGAAAGCGTTACGAAAAATGTGATCGGGCAAGGCGAATAAAAGTGAGAGGGAGATATAAGTTAGTGAAGATAGATAGATAGAGCGTTACGGTTCGTGGATCGTCATAATCATCATAATAGCTTAAGAGCCAGTGAACGGATACCTGTATGTATTTGACCAGACCTGGGCTTTTGCACGTTGAGACCCTTTTACCTACCGTACATGAGATGAGATGCATCAATGATTGTTTTTTATTTATCTAACATTTAAATTTCGTATTCAATAAATAAATTTAAAATATAAAATACAAATTATAACTATTCTTTGTTCTTAGCAATATACTTTAATACTTAAGATATTTTCGTTATGCATCTCCTTCTTTATCGTTTAACTTTAAAAGTTTAGTATGTAGACTGTATGGAATATATTAAATTCATTAAATACAGTGATTAAGTAAATTATATTAATGTAAAACTGCTATCTTAATATACCTATAGAGTATAGACATCTGACCGGGTAGTGTATCTTAGATTTTTTATCTGCTGATGTTTATACGCAATGAATAAGTCTGCCGTTAATAATTTAAGTTTTCAAGACTATAATAAATAAAATACATTGATGGCAGATCTGGTCATATAATTAAAAGAAAATTCTTAACATTTTCAAAATTGTCTGCCACAATGTTAAAAGAGTGATAAAGGTCTGCCATTGTTATTTTCCACTAATAATAATAATAATATATTTTCAAATATCAAAACGGCAGACGTGGTCAAATGCATTCATAGATAGCCAAAAATCGATACCTGTCCTACCTGCGCACTAGCCGCGTCCACCACTTAGGGCTTAGTGAGTCCCCATCTCATGTACGGTAGGTAAAGGGGTCTCAATGTGCAAAAGCCCAGGTCTGGTCAAATACATACAGGTATCCGTTCACTGGCTCTTAAGCTATAATCATAATAGATGGATATACATGGATGGATGAATCGTTGGATGGCAATTGTGTTTCGGAAAGATAAAAAAGGAAGAACTTCATAAAATTAATCATTTTAAATCTGTTATGTGTTTGTATAAGAGGATGAGATATAAGTTAATGTACATATTATTAAAACTACCCTGCAATACTTGGATCAGATTAAAGGGCTGAGAAAAGCCTCGTATATTACTGTAGGGGCAAGGGAGAGAGTCGTGAGAACGCACATTTTCTTTCTCGCTTCCTTTCATAGCCAGTACATGAAATATATTTATATATGTATGTACGTACATGTCTGCCTTATACATAAATAAACATATGGATATACATACTACATATAGATCGTCGTATTATATAGATAGTCATCTGGACGCCGACGCACAAATATCCTATGGGGTTTTGTATTTTTGAATGATGGAGTAAGGCCTGACTTTTGAATTTATACTTAGTCTTCTCTCACAAAACCTATTGATCGCTTTTTGTTGTTATTTCTTTTTGCGCTCTGGCTACCGAAACACTGGCACTTTCCAGATGAGTTGTAGAACCCTATCGAGGTGAGCTCATTTTACTAAATTATTCTTATCTGGGAAAGCCATTTCAACGCATTGAGATAAATTTTTAATAGTGCTAGTGACCAATCAAGAATAAAGGTGCGATATTTTAGATTAACAGGATGTAAAATTCCCTTATGTGTGGTTACACACACACTCGTTCTGCATTTCTAAACTCATTGTATGGATCTTGTATTTAGCATTCTCGTCGTGGCGTATACAAGACTAATTTATATCCGAAACTTTGGCCTTATTATTTGGTCCTACACCTACAAGTTATGAAATTTTTGATGAAGTTTTCAAAATACATATATGACATTGACATATACTTATTAAAAATTTTACGTTAACATTATATTGGGAAATCTTCTTCTTCTATCTGGCAATTTTCCAGCTTAATTAGACAGTGTCTGCCTTACATGTTGTGAATAGTATTGGCTAATTGTTTTTACAACCGGCCGCCTGCTGACGTCAACCCTTTGTGGAAATTCATTAATCAGTGGTGTCTAAATACTCTTAGGAAGTAGGTAGGTACATATGACTCCGAAAAATCACTTTGGTACTTGCCAGGATCGAACCCGCGCGCCCTCGTACATGAGAGGCGGGCCTTTTAACCCACCACTGACTCAATTGGGAATTAATACGAGTAAAAGACTTAAAAAATTTGTGTTCTTGAACAACTGCAAATGTACCGTCATGATACCGACTACATATTATGTAGCCCTTAGTCATAGTTACTGATCACGCGAGCTCACGGCTCGTCATATATTTTTACGGCTGGTAACATAAGGAAATCATTCCTTTAATTAATGAGTCTATTGAAGGAAGTATTTGATTGCTAAATCAAAAGACAGAAATAAAGAACTGTATACTATACTGTATAATATCAACAAAATGCGAATATAAAACATAAAAAAGTATTGTGACTAATTTTAATGCCATTAGTTAAACCAGGCACAGATACAGAATCGATAACATTGTTTATTTTTCCGAAAACGTAATGTTTATGATAAATAATAATAGTGCTCATTAATGATAACGTTCATTAATTTTGTAATATTTTCTAACAGTTATTATTACGGCTTGCTTTGAAAAGGGAATGTCCGAGATAATTAAATTATAAGCCTTAATTTTTAAAATAATAATCCCATAAATTTTACACTAAATTGACCAATTATTATTTGCGTCTGTTGAGGAAAGTCAGTTAATTTGTCACATACTAACGAAAAGATATGGAATATAGAGTTCTATTCTAGTTAGATAATAAATATGAATAAACTGGAAATTTTCTTGTTACGACTTCGTTGTGGAGTGATTAAAATAATATTTTACTATCTTATCTATTATTAGTTATTACATACAAGGGGAATCCCCCGCTGTGTTAAATGTCGTGCAGCTGCTGAGGGCTGACGTAATTGTTTGCGACTATTGAATTATATTTTTATTTTGCATAGTACCAAACGGCTAGAGTTGTCAAGCTTATTATGATAGAACTACTTTATATATGAGAGTCCAATCTTAGACAAGAGACTTACTAACGCTGCGTATGCAAATTTATGCTGCATTTAAATCGTATGTAATTCTTCCAAATTACATCCACACTACACTTTAGTTTCTTATTCAATAACCTACGCTAACATGTAAAACTGTAAACACTTCTTATATAGACCGGCGATGGCAACTTTGTATGTTATAAGGGAAACGAAAATAGTAAATGATAATGGAAGATGAAGAAATAATGAATATCACACTGTGTACATGAAAACTGAAGTGAATCAATACGAAATTAAACAAATTATCATCATATAATACTTTAATTTGCTTGCACACAGCCTCTTAGTGAGAACAATGTAGAAGTATAGAGGGATAGTTTAAAATAAATAACAATACCAGCTTAGTAACGGATCTCGTTCATTTGAATGAGATTAGATCTTTTAGGGAAATCGATACAATTTAAATTCATAAAATTATATAAGTAGATTAAAAAAAAAACTTTTGTAATAATAGCATTAAGTAGCAAAATTAAAAGACGCATTCAACTACCAAACCACAGATAAAACCTGTTCGGTTAAGGCAGCTGATAAAATGTGGCGAAATCATTAAATAAAAACATAGCTCATCTCAACACATATAATTGCAATTTTCAAACGAACTGTATAAAAAAAGTCGATGAGATTTGGAAAGGGTCCCGGTTCAGGGTATTTGTCATGTATTTTTTATTTATCCAGTACTTAAATTATCACGAGTACGAGGCACGTACGAGGTACAGCGACGCCGAGCTTCGACGACGCTCCTATACAAGAATCTAGATATAACGTAACTTACAATAAACGCATATATCATACATCTAAATTCAAGTAACTTATTTTTTATTGAGTTTCATTATTTTACTTTTTTTTTTGTATATTTTTTTTCTCATTTATTTTATATAGCGTAATCTCTTGTTTGTTACCACAGCGTTGTTGCCGGTGAAATTTGCCTTTCGCGAATGTTTTAGTCCGAGGTGCGACCGTTCACGTGCTACTCCACGTTTTCCTGTTTACGGTTGTACTGATGGTTGGTGCGTGGCGTGCGCGGGGCTCCTCGCGCGCCCCCTCGCGCTCCGCCCCTGCCGCGGCTCTTGAAGCCCGACTGGTAGCTCGTGTCGTTGTAACGCAGGCCGTTCTCGTTATGATGTGAGTCCCCGTTGTCTCCGTTCCCGTAGTAATCCTTCCCGTGCCTGGGCTGGTAGTTGTCGTTGTATTGTCTGTTCTGGTAGCCGTCCTTGTTGCTTCTGTTCTGATAGTCGTTGTGTCTCGGGTGGTATCCCTCCCCCTGCCTGTTCGTGTATGATCCTCGACCTCTAAACCCATTAGATGAGCCCCTTCCGTTTCCTCGGTACCGTCTAAATCTATTCTGTCCGTCTCCTTGTCCCTGTGTTTTTCGTTCCCCTCCATCCTCCCTCTCCGGGCTCGCACTTTTTACTTCCTCTTCTTGTTTGTCCTCAACGGGTGATATAACTTTCAGTTCTTCCTGCTCAAAGTTGGGTTGCTCGATATGTGGGATCGGTTGGTTGTGTTGCATCGGTTGTGGGATTGACTGAGGCACGTGGTGAGGTTGGGGATGGATTTGAGGGATTGGAACTTGATAGGCGTGGTCGGGATGAGGCGGGAAGTGAGGTTGAGGTGGCATTGGGATAGTGCCGGGCTCGGGAACACGACCTCCGGGGAGTTGGACGAAGTGTTGATTGGTGAATGTCTGTGTCGGGATAGGTCCTGGTGGGGAAGGCTGGTTCATGATCTGTGGAGGTTGTGGGGTGCCTACGGGGCTGTCGATCTCAGATTCTTGTAGGAAGAAGAAGTTCTGGGAGCCTATCACTTCAGATATAGGCCTCTGTTGGGGATATTGTTGTGAGAAATAGGCATTCTCAATTTCTTGAAGGGTGATTGGGGGAATCGGTCTTAGAGGATATCCCGGGGCGGGAACTACAGCCGCCGGTGGGGCTGACATAGGTACAGGGGCCGCGTACATTGGTGCAGGCTCATTTTCCTCAATTTCCTCGGTAGGTTCCGGTGCTTCTTCACACACATTCTGTATCTCTTCAGGTTCGGGAACAACGTCAGCAGATTTATCAAAGTAGCCACACTCATGTACTGCCGAGACTATTTCCTTGACATGAGCGTATGTGGTGCCCAGAACTTCTTTGGGTTTGCCGTCAATAATAGCATACAGATGTTCCGCGGCTTTTATTGTACACGCATGAAAACCAGGCTGGCCTTCTTCATTGACTTCATGTTTTGGGGTCACTTCGGGATACCTATAAATATCAATAAGATAAAGAATTAAACAAAGTATATTTAATCTATCTTATAATTTTTGATGCTTCTATATTTAATGAAATTAATTTTAAGTTTTAGAACATGAAGAAAAGAAGGAATCATCTTTCTTTGATAACAATAAACTCTTCAAACTTACAAATCATCTAAGATTTTTAAATCCTGCTCCGTCAGTTTAACTGCACCGTTGGTACCATTGAGGAAGTCGTCTCTAACTTCTGCATTCCCCAACTGCATGAGGCAGTCCAATATAAGGAGCACTTCACGTATTTTATTCGTGTCTGCAGTATAACGAACCCAGGCATCCTGTAATTAATAAATTAAGGCTGAACACACCAGTCAAAATATTAATTAAATAGCAAACATGTGTAACATGGTAGTAAATTGAGAGAAAATAAACAATATTGAATTCCATAATTTTTGAAACGATATTTGTATGTTAAATATACATATATTAACACTCAAAAAAATGATTGATCTGAAGAGTGATTTATAAATAGCAGATAGGTTATATATTTCTTTACCTTCTTAGCTTGTTTCTTAGCTTCACGTTCTGACGCTATAGCTATCAGAGCCACTTGTTTCGAGAGGTCTCTGGCGAACTCTAGTGTTATAACCACCTCGTCATACTTGGCAACCGCTTCCTTTTGATCACTGTTTAATTCCTTACCGGCTTTTTGCAAATCACGGTACGATGTTAATTTGCCCTGAAATATATACCTTATAAATTTAATATACTCACGATACCGATTTTCTATAAATTATGTAAGTTAACGAGACGATAAACTTTCCACAAGGCTATAATCGCCGTATAAGTAACTAATGCATGTCTAAAAGTTGTATATTTACAATGATTACGGCTTTATTACAAAGCTTGTAATAAAAATAATATAAGCTCACAATAAAAACACCACGATACTGTTAACTTGGAAATAGACGTTTTATATACTTTATAATTTAACTTGCAAGTATTTCAAAGGATATACAGCCCTGTTTAAATTGGGCGTCATAGTTTGGTCACAAAATTATTGGAGCACATGTGTAAAAATGGCGTCAACCGAATACCGCAACTTTATTTACATGCAAATTTTCAATATACAAATGAAATTTATGGTATCAGATAATATTTATTAACTAAATACTCAGATAAGTTTTCAAAAACAAGCTATATATAGATAAAAAAACTGTTATATATTTGTTGATGCCGCGCTTTGCACTCACCTTCCTTTTCTCCAAGTTTCGGATTTTATGTTCAATAATGGTCATTATCTGTCGTATTGGTGAATTATCCGTAGCTTCCGAAGAAGCTGGTTTTTCAGACTTTGCATTCGCAGCTGAAGGCATCCTTCACAGGCAACAACTTCTTCTGGATTGGGTATGGTGGCAGTAGTTGAATAGAAACCAAACCTATATTATATCTATATCTACCTATGTATTATGTACTTATTTCAATACACAGCAACTGTCAACGAAAGAACGAGAACGACGCACTAACTTTCATTGTGAATGTTGGTAACATTGAATAATGTAGTGACTACACGAATGTATCAACTAATTTATTTATGAAATTTTATAACATCTAACTATTTACAATTATTTTTATGTCTTTACAACTATTAATTTCCAGCATGATTTTTTAGAAAATAAATTTGTAACATTTTCAGTATAATAAATTCTCAAATTTATAGTTTATAGTAATAGTTATTATAATATTTTATAGATATATAAATCTGACATCCTGGATGAAGGTCGATTTTACATACATATACAGATTTATCGGTCTAATTAATAAAAGGCTAAAATATCGTAACGATCAATGTGTTTTCAATAAAATGTTTGTAAATGTGATTAAACTTAAGAGTTATTCTTTCAGCAGTGTGACCAGTAGTAAATACACAAACAAAATTGTTGCCATTGAAATGTTTAAAATGTAGCCCGTGATATGTTATTGTATAAACGAAGTATATAAATAAAATGAATGAGGTACATAGATTATAGATAATACCTTGTTAATATAACTATCATACTTGTTATTTGTTAGATACAACATTTTATTCGTTTCTTTAGTAAATTTAAACCAATTAGAAATGATTAAATATTTCATTTAGTATTAAAATAAACAGTGGATGAAATTCTTACAAACCTTGGAGTATTTTTACTTTTGTTTCATTTTAGTTAAACTTTGGAAAAGTGGCTGGTGGCATAAGTTTTCGCTCTTATAAAATTAATTGAGTTAGTAGAGTTAATTTAGTGCATGGTTATTGTAATATAAAATGTATTAAACTGTTTACAAAGTGTATAACTATTTATAATAATTTACGTGCATAACAATTATTGTTGTTTAATTTGTTGAACTAGTTTTTAAATCGTTGTGAGATGGAAGTTTCTAACGAAATAAAGGAAGATATTCGTAAAACACAAACGGATTTGAAAAATGCAATACGCATTCATCAGGTATGCTAGAATATTAAAGCGCATCAATTAAAATAATATGCAAGAACGAAGTCGACGAAGTTTCTTTAAAATATAATAAACGAACCTCTTAACATTAGAAACCCCATGAAATAACTATGTTTAGATATTTTTTATTATTTTATTTACAGATATGGGTGACTCGTTTGGAAGAAGATGAAAATGTATATAAGAGTATAATTTTTATAAATAAATTATTAAATTATACATTTTATCAGTTAATATGTAATCATATATTAAATATAATTTTAAATTTCAGAATATTCAACTTAAGTTTAAAGTAAATGAAGCTGAAAAAGAAATTATAGCCATAAGTCAGGCTCAAGTAAGTCAAAAATTTATTATTATAATTGTTGCATATGGTATATAATTTTATTAATAAATATATTAAAAATAATTACATAATTTTTTATTGATATGGTTAACATATTCTATATTTTTAGAAATTGGTAGTAGATAGACTCCGGAAGGAATTAGAATTATATCAACAAAGACTGAGATCCAGAAATAAACAAGTCAGTATAGAAAACGACAATAAATATGTAGCTCAACAGCTTAGGGATCATCAGATGCAATATCGGAATAGAAACCGTAATATATCATTACTAAAACCATCGGTACTCAATGAAATACATATCAAAACCGAACACAATGATAACAACTCGGATTCAGACAACGAAAATAAATACGAAAAGGAAAACGGGAATAGTGAAACGGATGAAAAAGAAAAATACTCACAAAATTATAATCAGATACCAAATTTAGTATTGGGCGGCCGAAGTAACTTAACTCATGCATTGAACAAAGTCAAAGAATCTTTGATGTAAGTAGAATTTATTATTTAATTCATTTTCTTTTTCTATATTTATTAAATATAATATTAGCATTCATAGTATTGGATAAGTTAATATAACAAATGAAAATATTGTATATTTTTAATAGAAACTTAATTCATTTTTTGATTACTTTAATTTACTTTAAATTATTATTAAATGTGTATATAGACATACAAAATTTATATACTTAATTTGTAAGAGAAATATTTTTACTTAAAGTGTTTTTTTTTTTTATATATTATTGTAGAAATATTTTTTTACTTAGTGTTTTTTTTGTTTTAATATATTATTGTATAATATAAGTGTTATCTACTAGAATATTAAGTAACAAATGAGTTTTTTCAGTGAAAATAACTTACAAGAATGTCAATGGGAAGAACAAAGATCTGATTCCGATTCAACGTTTGATTTGTCTCCGACACCTTCCCCGCCACCTTTGCCCGAGCCAGGAAAACCTATTATTAAAGAAGTGTTCATGAGGTATTTAGCTTATTATTAATATTATATCATGTTATAAAAATGTATTTAACTTTTAAACACTATAATCTTTGTGTTCTTTTTAAAATTCTGGTTTTAAATGTAATTGTAAACTATGCCTATATATATTTGTGATGTCGGTTGAGAGTTATTATATATGTCCTAAATACTTTATTAATAAGAACCAGGTTATTTGTAATTAATTTTATTCCTAAAATTGTGTTTGCGAGGTTTAAATATGAATTTTTAAATATAATGCCAGGATAGATGAGAATAGAAGTACAAATGTTCTGCTCATACAATATTATTTAAAAAAGCACATTAAACATATATTTTTAATTTAATACTATAGAAATCAGATGTTTTAAATAATAATTTCTATTAATATATCATGAAATTATTGAGAAATTGTTAAGGAGCCATATTTAATGTCATTACATTTTTTTTTCAGGTTGATTGGTTTAATAACTCCGGCTCAGAAAGAAATAATTGAGAGGAACAGAAATGAACGTCGCAAGAGATCAACAAATAATTCCAACAAGAATGACTTTATATATGGAAGCTATGAAATGATGCCTGTGAGTATAAACATATTTAATTTCAATAAAGACTTTTTTAAACAACAAGTTTTTTTTTAAACTAAGCATAATCATCAGTTATTAACTTGATATCAAGGCAATGGTTTGAAATTATTAATCCAATATAATTAAAATAGGTTTTATTTGAATATACATGACTTATTATTTTTAAATGAAACAACATTAAATTTGCTGACTGAAAGTTAATTTTATAAGCAAAAATAACTTGATGTAATCTAATTTATTGAGGTTATTAACCCTAATAGTATTTATTATTATTATTTATATATTTTTTTTTTATATATTTCTGTAGATGTGTAGGAGTTTTATATAAAGTGCATGTTATGGATCAAATTTCAGTTAAAAGAACTTAATAAAATGCAGAATATAATATATATGGAATTATAAATTAATTAATTATTTTCAGAAACGTAAAAAATTAAATCAATTCCCGTATCTCCAAAGCCACAGTGATCCGCCCCAGACGAGATCTGCTAAATTACGACAACAGCAGGTATTATACATACAAATATCTTATATATAAAATTCTCGTGTCGCGGTGTTAGTCAGAGAACTCCTCCGAAACGGCTTGATCGATTTTGATGAAATTTTGTGAGCATTCAGTAGGTGTGAGAATCGGCCAACATCTATTTTTCATACCCCTAAGTTATAAGGGTTGTTCACCTTTAATTTTTTTATTTGGGCGAATTTTGTTTTTATTTTTTATAATGTAGCATTAAAAATACATACAACCCAAAATTTTATTTTTTATCACCAACTTTTTTTTTTTATAGCAAAACAACGTTTGCCGGGTCAGTTAATATATATAATATACATATATATTTATTAAATAATATATATTTCCAGAATCAAAACAAATCATCAAGAGAAGGTTCCCCATCCGGTTCATGTTCTGAAGTTAAAGGTGAGTGGAATATATTTTTATCAATATTAATCATAATATACATAATATAGAATATTAGATTATGTTAATATGTCTGTCTGTTTGTTACACTTATAAAAACTGTCTAAAAGATTTTGCTTAAACTGCAATGTTAATAGAAATTTAGTATCTTGCTAGTTACTGATTCATTGAAGCTTATGCAACTTATTATACAGGGTGACTGGTGAATTACTATCAATATTGAAGGAGCATACTCGGTACATGATTCTCATTCGAATTATGTAAAAAAAATAGGTACTTAATTTTTGACCAAATTTCCGTATAAATAAATAAAGTGTTGACACGTTCCAAGTGTTCCTAGTGTGGACGCGTGCGGCGGTGTGCTGATACAACACCACGCCGCCGCGCGCGAGTGTGTGAGTGTGTGTGTATACCTAATCTGTAGGGTGTTCATACGATGCGTAATTAATTACATAACTTTTGGTTAACTTTACTTAGAAGTTTATTAATATTTATGTTATATTAATTTTTATTTTGTGATATATGATCGTCAAATATCACGTCCTCAAATATCGATAGTAATTCACCAGTCACCCTGTATACATACATATATACACAGGTATATATTTGTATATATTTACATATACTATAAAAAAACTATCCTTTAATTATTATTTCCTTTAAACTCTTATTCTACCTGGCAATTTCCCAGCTTTAGCCAGGGTCTGCTTTACAAGTTGTGAATAGCTTTGGCTAATTGTTTTTACGACCGGCCGCCTGTCTGATATCAATCCTCTATGGCAATGCGTTGATCAGTGATGTCTAAATACTCTTAAAAAGTACATATGATTCGGAAAAATCACATTGGTACTTGCCAGGATCGAACCCGCGCCCTCGTGCATGAGAGGCGGGATTTAACCACTAGGCCACCACTGACTTAATTTCCTTAAACTGTTGTATTAAAGTATATTTAATATTTTAGCAGCTACTACCACTAAAGTTTATGTAACTTATTATATACAGGGTGACTGGTGAATTACTATCGATACTTGAGGACGTGATATTTGACGATCATATATGACAAAATATAAATTAATATAACATAAATTATAATAAACTTCTAAGTAAAGTTAACCAAAGTTATGTAATTAATTACGCATCGTGTGAACACCCTACAGATTAGGTATACACACACACACACACGCTTACGGCGGCGTGGTGTTGTATTAGCACGCCGCCGTACGCATCCACACTTGGAACACTTGGAACGTGTCCACACTTTATTTATTTATATGGAAATTTGGTCAAAAATTAAGTACCTACATTTTTCACATAATTCGAATGAGAATCAGGTACCGAGTATTCTCCTTAAATATTGATAGTAATTCACCAGTCACCCTGTATATATATATATATTATTTTTATTTCCAGGTTGGGGTAACAACAAGCCCGCATGGTTGGCCTCTCTCCCTGCGGGTTTGTCCGTTGAACCAGTTTACTCTCCTACCAAAAAAGTGTGTCACGGCTGTGGAAGGAATGGTAATAACACTATTTATATATACTTATTGTATTCTAATTTTATATATGTTGTGCCTTATATAATTGGGTTTTTGAATATATTTTTTTTTTTGTGATAAATGGAAAGATCATATATAAGTTTTATAACAAAACTATTTTTATTTTATTTTTCTTTGCAATAATTAAAAAGTTATTTCAAAATAAAAATTAAATTTTAAATTCAGTACCGAAGATCCGCCGACAGCTCGCGAATAAACCCGAGCGCGTGTGACGTCACAATGTTAGTTTTGCTCATTGTAGCATACAGAGATATAATAATAATTAGTACAGTGTTTTGAGTTTTTATCTAGTAAATTCTGTTGGCATTGTTAAATAATCAAAGATGTTAAAACTCAAAAGTTATCGCTCTTGTTTTGTACCATTATGTACAAATACTACAAAAACAACTCTTGAAAAAATGTTTTTAAATGTTCCACAAGACGAAAAACGTCGAAAGAAATGGTTTCAAGCAGTGCACCGAGATTATTCAAAAACAAAATCTTTTTTTTTTTTTTGTTGTGAAGATCATTTCGTTGTAAGTATTCATAATAATATTGTTATCAATTATTATTTATCTAAGTGTATAAATCGAATAAGTATAGTTCAGTAATTAATTTTAATTTTTACCTGGGCTCCAAATCATAACCTTTAGAATCGTAGCATTAAAAAATTTTAATTGATAATTCAAAGCGATTAAATAGTAAATCTATATGTACGTTTTTCTAATAATTGGAATTCAATTAATAGATATTTTCATAATTTTATAACATTCTAGGTTCTGTATCAGACTACATTTAAATTTTTAAAGTATATGTTATTTTGGTTTTTCATAATGTTAGAATAACATTTTATTAATTCTTCTTTTATTATTCTTCTTCTTAATTTTTCATTGATAGTTAGAGTAACTGAGTAAGCTTTACTCCGAACTCGGTGTTCTGGGCACACACGTCCTTTTAAAACACAAATACCATTCTTACGATTAAGTTGAACATAACCTAAGTATAGCTTTATCGCCGTAACTCTCACGTGATGCTCTACAATTAATGAATTAATTATTATTATATTTAATAGAGAATAAATACTTATTTTCATTTAGAATAGTATTTTTTAACAGACTTACCTTGATGCCTTAGCACCTCGAACTTCAGCAGAATTAAACCGAACGTCATTTTTTTAAAAATTAGTTATAAATATATCAACATCAGGAATATTATCCGATTTTGCTTCTATAAATCCTTTATCACACATAGTTAGTCGAAATAAGCTTTTCAAATCGTTTCTCACTAATAAATTTGAGATATTTTTATCAAGTCAAAAATAATAGCCATAAACACTGTACTATTATGAAATTGCTTTAACATTATGACGTCACAAGTATGCTGACCAATCATGGCGCGTTTACAGTCACGTGATATATTTTTGAATTTTATCAATTTTTAATTGTTTATAATTAATTAAAAAAAAATATTTCAAGTTTTTTGCATTAAAAATCCAATATAATTAATAATAAAGTTTTAAAATACATAAAAAAAATCAATACTTTTTTTTTTTCAAAAACCCAATTCTTTTTTATTTGTGATAGTTATGACTTTCAATTGATATACATAATTAATTTCTTGAAATATGGGTATATTTTTTATTGTTGGCAAAATAGATTTTGGAAATTAAAGTTACATGAAAGTTGTAGACAAAGAATGTAATAATAACTATAATAGTCCACATTAAAAGATACATATTTTAATGTAGTTTACTTCAAATAAACTATCATTAAATTCATCTAAATTTTCAGTTGATTTATGAACCAGTTCCTTATTTAATATATAACAATACTAGCTTTCCGCCCGTAGCTTCGCCCGCGTTGAGGTCAATTATATCGCGTTTCAAAGAGAACCTTTCAAAAGACTTAGATAAAAACTATCCTATGTTCTTTCTCAAGATCAACTCTGTCTGTACCAAATTACATTAAAATCAGTTCAGTGGTTTAGGCGTGAAAGCGTATTTTCCATTATTAACGAACCCGCAACCCCCCTTGTGGATGGAATTTCCTAAAATCCGTTCTTAGCTGACCTATACTCGGCGAAAGGAATAATCCTACCTACCTATCGGTGCTCGAATAATCCTACCAAATTTCAAGTCGCTACGCCTTATGGTTCCAGACATATCGTGATGAGTCAATATATAGGTGGAAATATTTTTATATATAGATAACAATGTATTGATCATATAATGTTGATCTTTCAGATGTTCCATCTCTCCTCGTATGGTGTTCATCCTGTACAGTGTGGCTACATACAGGGTGTTCAACGAGCGGTCGGTGTAGTTGTGGAGCTACGCTGCCTGACCCGGCGGAATGCAGCGCGAATTCTAACAGCGATGATATATATAGAGGTATATACAATGTTCAAGTATTACGTAACGCAATTTTCGAAGATTTTTGACCCCCCCTTCCCCCTTCGTAACGCAAGGTAAGTTTTACGAGATCCCCCCCTCCCCCAAAACCGCGTTACGTAATACGTGAACGCTCCCCAACTAATAGTTATTTTATTTATTATATAACGAAGGGGCAAACAAGCAGGCAAATAGATATCCACAACATACTTTTGGGAATGCGTTGACACTCTTATTTGGCAAAGAGAGAGGAATGTTTTTGAAATGGGAAAATGGCAGGAATGGATGTGAAAAAGGGAAATCGGCTTTTTTACTCATCTGACAAAACGCAGCCATTAAAAAATACTTCACGCCGATCTATGAGATGGTGGTACTTCCCCGGTCGAGCCAGCATATTTTTGAGATGTAGTAACTTGACTGTAGGCTTTACCACTTAATACATTTAAGAATGTATATTTATACTCAAATTTTATTAATTAACCACTTAGTTTGTTGAATGTCTTAATCTTTATAGAGAATAGAAGTTTCTTTCAACTTTAGATAATTATAGTTATATAAAATGGTAATAAAAATTTATTTTTTTATATTTTTTAAGATAAATTAGCGGAAAGGAAGAGATTACAAGAAAAGAACATAGAACTCTGTAAGGAATTGCGCAAATTAGAAGCCAGGGCAGCGACTTTGAAGGAAAATTTGGACGAACATAACGCAGAGAAACGACAATTATTAGCTGATCAGATAAAAACACAGAAGAATTTACAGAAATTACTAGACTTTATAAGCCAGTTTAAAGAGACCTCTATAAGTATACGTTCAACATCAGTTAGTGAGTCTAGCAGTGAAGTTAGTAAAAGTAATGAAGAATGAATTCAGGTGATGTATAATGATTAACCGACTGTTTCAGAGTTTAAATGTAGGGTTATGTTTTCATTTATATTAAGTTTTTGCTTCTACAATTTATTGGGTAACTAACTTGCTTAGGAATATGTAAGTAGTATGACAAAAATATATAATCCAATTAATTGTTAAAATGTTTTCTCATTATTATTTTTCTAGTCAAAAAATTGATTAATTGTTTATAATATGAATTAAATGTTATTATTTTATTGAAAATATGTTTTTTTGTTTCAGATCCGAGAACATTTTTTGTGTGTTGTCTTTAGATAGTGTTAAACAGTACAATGAATTTAAACGAATCGATGGCGTTGTTTCAAAAGATTTTGGTGAATTTTAAAGTTATTTGTTTTAAATATATGTAAAATTTCTTAAATTAATAGGTATTTTGTTATGCAATGAATTAATTCGATGTGTATGTTATTTTATTAATTAATGATCGATCAATTGGTAGATATAGAAATTTTTGTATTTTTTTTCCAAAAAATTATCTTAGTTTTGGTTAGCAGCGATTAATTAATTTAGTTTATTTGTTTTATTAAAAATTAAATAGCCTGTGAGCATGATTTTGTTACCAAATACTTTCGCTTCTTATTATTTTTATAGGCAATGTTTTGTTGATAATTGAAAATTATTTTTGGATGGTAAAAAATTAAATTCTACCTGAAACGTGTTCAGTATTGATCTTATTTTAAGTAGTTCTAGGTCTCTATACATGTATGTCTTAATTATACACGTATTTTTGTATGTAAAAAAATATAATTTAAAATTTGGTACAAAATTTCGGTCACTAACATTTTTAATTACTTAATAAAATTAAACAAAATATATTAAAAAAAGACTAAATTCATCCGTGTTTTAATTTCTTTATCATTAGTATTGATATTTTCTGTGATATGATTTCTGTATATACGATATTTTAGGCAGGTTTTATGTAAATAAATATTCATAAGTTGGTACAACTGTGTATTATTTTTTATCAACTCCAAACTACTCTAGTTCCAAAGCCTTTTTCCCCATTAGAACTTCCTTTCTCAGTTGCTCGATACTTCTCTCCAACAATTGACATTCGTATGACGATAGGTGTGAGTATCGTTGCATTTCTTTAACACCATTTTGGTCAACGGTAACGAGTCCAGAAAAATAAGAAGTGCCAAAATCGTTGTTTTCAACGTACGCCTGTATTTGAGTTGTTCGGCCGTCCAAAGCGTCGATAATAGATTTAGTGAACGCAACAGCGCCGTACGCCACGGACAAAGATGGCGACCAGCCGCATTTTGATTTCAAAATCGCGCTATCAGATGATCTAACCTTAGATGTGAATTCTTGTATCCTCTTTTCGTCCAAGTTACATTTAGGTTCTGCTTGTGACAACAGTGGTATTAAAGTTTTTTCTGAATGCCCGCCTATAACTGGGACATTGCAGTTTTGTGGATCCTTTTCCGCTTCCGCGGCGTATAACGCCTCTGTTTTCAACTTATCTAATATTGTGATGCCAAACATTTTTTTGGGGTCGTATTCCCCATGGTTCTTCATTATTTCCGCAGCCATGGGCACTAAAGTGTTAATGGGTTCCGTAGCGATACCTACGAACGGCATCGGTGACATTTTGGATATACGAGACGATAAGGTCTTTATGAAATCTGCATTTGCGTTAAACCATGTTTCCTTTGACGTCCCCGGGCTTCGGGCTACGCCGCCTGTTGCTAATATGATACTGGAATCTGTCCAAAACTTTTCCAAAGAATTACCTGAAGCCACTCCCTGTAGAGCGGATCCTGAGGGTATGTGTGACAAATCTAAAACAACGCCTGGAGTATGCTCTAGATCGTCAAAAATTATCAGTTTCGTGATAGCTGGCTGAGTCCGGAGCAACAAGCCGACAGTCTGTCCAATCTCACTAGCTCCCCCCACAACTGTTACTTGATAGTTTCTCGAAATACAGTGACGTGAAATAAAATGTAAAAGTTTCTTCGTTTGGAACATTCTGTTTGAGTTAATTCTATAAATGGTTGGTGGACCTAATACTGTTTACAGGGAATTTGACATTTTATTTATTAATTCAGTGTTAAAATCATTCACATCCTTTTTATAGATTATACATAACATCACTTAAAACCTTAGACTCCCGGATTATTAAAAGAGTTCCTAAAAGTTAATTGATTATAGTGTAAATGTATTTTGCAAGAGATTTTTAAAGGTAGTATTTATACAACAAAAACATATAAATGATCCTATCAGTCAAAACTTTATTTTTAAAAATTATTTGTATGATTTAATGTAACATGTGTTTTTCTATGCATTGATACTCTACTCGGTACAGAATTTTATAAAAGATCAAATGTCAAGATCTCTATTACTATTCTTCAATTAGGTATTTATTTTTGTCGTAAATAATTTTCTACATATTGAAGTAACCAGTTCGTCAATAAACTCCTATTAAAGCGTATATTTCATTTATCGTTGAACAAACACTATTAACAAAAAAATGAAAAGTGTAGATTTTATTAGTTAGGTATACTAAAATTATTGAATAGGTGATCTTAATGAGAATTTTATACAATAACATGCTGGGGACTTTCGATATAATTAATAAGTAACTAATGATAAAGTTATCAATTAGTGTAAAATCATAAATATAATTATTTTATAAAGAATTTATATGTAACATAAGCTGATTACACGATCTATTCAATAAGATTTTCTTGCTTGAGTTCTGTCATAGTTTCCTCACTACATATTTCGTTTGTTATTTGACATTTCTGTAATCCTATTAAGTCGGGACGAAATTAAAATATTCTGTAAATTTTTGTAAAACATTCTGAGCCAATATTATTTATTATGAATGTATTTGGTAGATGTTTACAAAGAACACAATTAAAATCTTTATGTTCTGTAAAAAATTATGTGCAGCGAAGAAATGTACAAATATCGATAGTCGGCGCCGCTAGTGACATTGGAAAGAACGTGGCACTGCTGTTGAAACGGAATCCTTATATTACGAGGCTGCACTTATACGATGATAATAATATAGTAAAAGGTATTGGCCTGGAATTGGAACAGATTCCCGGAGGACCGAAAGTAGCTTCATTTTCGGGAGATCCCTTCTTGTCCGCTGCTATTAGATACTCCAATCTGGTACTGCTTGTATCGAGAACTCCTCGTAAACTCGGATTTTCCCGTGAACAGATGCTAGCCACGAATGCTATACCAGTATATAAATTGTGCAAAGTTTTATCATACCAAAACTCCGATGCTTTTTTTGCAATTTCGACTAATCCCATAAATTCAATAATACCGTTTGCAAACTTACTACTAAAAAACTGCAATGCTCATAATCCGTTTAAACTTTTCGGTATAACCCACATCGACACTACGAGAGCCAGAGCCTTCATTTCAAATACTTTGAACGTTAATCCGAGACATCTTTACGTACCGGTGATTGGAGGTCACTCTGACGAAACGATAGTACCGCTATTTTCAAATTTATGTCCCAGCCATTATTCCGTGGGTCACTGTGAAGCTGATACATTGACACGTCTGATCAAGAAGTCTGGCACGGAGGTGTTAAACCGAAAGCACGGCAGTGATTCATCGACTCTGGCTATGGCCTGGTCGATCAATGAATTCGTTCAGAATCTCATTGAAGCATTATACGGGAACTATGTAGTCGTGAACAGTTATACAGCGAATCCTCATTTTGGGACGAAATTTTTCTCAGGTCCGACCAAGGTTGGACCGGAAGGCGTTATAGAGACATGCAATAAGACCTTTCACATGAGCGATTATGAGACCAAGCTCCTGGAGAGAGCTATTCCCATTATAAACAAGGATGTGGCGGAGGGTGAAGCACATGTCAGCGTTCTTGAAAGCGCCAGGAGTTGTTACTAGACATTTAGACAATATGTATGATTTGTTATGTTTTACTTTACAGAATAGAAATATTTGTAACCCGATGTTTATTTTCATTCAAAAGTTTTACTCAGGCTCACCTATAGCTATACTTTTCAAAATATAAATAAAAATTTGTGATAGTTTGCAGCTACGGTTATGGTCGGTGTTGGTAGGTATAACAAAGGTTCAATTTCAAACAAACAGCTGAATGCGGCTCAAAACGACCATCGAAGTGGCATGTTATTGGAAAGAGCGTGTAAGTACCTAAGCGGGGCCCCGGTCACTAATAAACTAAGGACTAGATTGCACCTTACACTTGCACGATATTACTTCAAAGAATTCACTGTGTCAGTATGACTTAATTTTTATATAACCTATCTTGTACAGGAAGATATTAAAAATAACTTATAACTTTTGTTAAACTTCAATTAAATTAGTATATTTAACAAAAATATACGTAGGATTTTTATTATTTATATTACAATACAAATCGTAAACAGAAGTCCACTTTGATTCATTTTACGAGTAATCATGAAACGATGTTGTGTATCCTTAGCTTAACTCAGCCATTGACAGTTCAATGTTACCGCAAATAAGATTCCTAACGACAGGGTTAACTTTAAGATAATCGTTGTACGGCCGTACGAGGGTTGTGTAATGTGGGTCTTAATGTCCGATGGCTTGACTGCTTGCATGGTTGTTTGAGGGTTAAGGGCCGTATAGCTGGTGATTATGTGCCTTATCTTAGTTGGATAGTGAGAAACTATTCGGTGATTACATTAACGCCTTGTTATTCGTAATTGCGTCTCTTGCCTTAATGATGAACGGATTCGGTCCCATTGTTTTTACTTAACAAAGACCGTTTGTTGATTGTAATATACAATAAAATTTGTATATCTCCGTTTGTACATGAAATTGGGTAATAGGAAATTAGTTTCGATGTCTCGGTTGTTTTGAACTAATCAAACATTTTATGTAAAAAGTATTCTCTAATTAAGGCATTTAATATTTTTAAATCATGCAAAGAATTATCAGTGTATTTGGCAGCCATTTTTAACATTTTGTTCAACTGGAAAGTTTCACAAAAGTATTGTTTCAAAATCCAAGCAGCGTGACAACAGTTCGCTGTTATCGGTGCTCGCCCGTGGCAAGAATTGCAAATGGCTATAATTCCAACTACGCCAATAAATCAGTAGCACCCGTTCAAGTTTTTTCCTCGAGGGTGTACCTACATTGTTAGTGATTGATCGTCAGTTCCCATACTTAAAACTTTCTTACTAAACTCGAGCATGTGTTTGCCAAAGAGTTTACTTTGACATGCGAAATCGGTAACGATTGATTGCATTTTAATTTTATTTTCATTCTGTTTAAAAATATTCCAAATATTTTTTATTTGATATATCCTATGTATAAATTACGTGCGTTCAATTATAGTTATTCTTCTATCATAATAAATCTATATATACAACGGATATAGCAGTAAGGAACAAGTAGAAGAAAAGCCATAAATTAGTTATTGATGACACCCTCGGGAGTCCATCGGTAGTGCTGATATAACGGCTATTTATAACCTCTACTAATTGCCCTTAATTTATATATACGTCATCCGATCTAGTACCATAGAAACTTGCGTGGGCGACAGTTTAAATACTTAGAATATGATATAAACAAATAGTTGGTCTTTTTCCAATAACATACACATAATAATTAAAAATAAATCTACAAACAAGACATTGAAGCTTTAAATTGAGCATAACTAAGAGAAATATTCTTTAAGAATACTAGACTTATGTCTAGCTTCAGTATTTAAAAACAACTCGTAAATATTATTATCGTACAATGACCTCGTCTGTTGCTGAATGTAATTCGATACCCTATATAATTATCGATGGAACTCAACCAGCCAATATTCTGAAAGTCCTAATACGTTCAGACACTATTTCCCCTTCTTCACGGTACTGCCAATTAGTAATTTAATTCTATTCGCCGGCACCGCTCATTTATGTCATGGCTTCATAACATTATTACCTGTTACAAACTTACTTTTAATGTTGTTTGCGTATGTAAAAATAAATTAATTTTAAAAATCTTATAGGTTATATCTGTGAAAACAAATTCTTCAAGTAAGCATACAATATTTATTGTCTTTGTTTTGACATATGTCAAATACAGATAAAAAAAGATATATTACTGTGAGCAATTTTTTCCTTCATTTAAATTTAAAGCAATTGTATGAGCATATTTTACGTCTAGCTAATATTATTACTTCGTTTTGTAATATTCTTAGTTCAATTTGACATCGTTACGCTTCATATATATAGTGTTAACAGTTTTCCATTCATAAATCTTCACACATTATATGTAGTATTACAGTATAATATGAGAAACGGGAAACGGAACGTATTTTGCGTACCTTACCAACTTGGTTTAAGCATTTCTCAATTTGTAACCAATAATATTGAATTAGTACTAAAAATATCATGATTTTCGAATCAAATTTCAATAATAAAGAATTTAATATTGAATATTTGAGTATTTCCTCGTCTGGTTTGCTGCAATAATCGTATTTATTAAGCCAATGAATCATTTAATTAAAATTCTAAAGACGCGGTGTCATAAACTCATCCCTAGGACAGGGTGAGTGTCGTAGTACAAGGGTTTATTAGGGATATATATAAAATACCCAATTTCAAACATATTAGAATGAAACTGGATGTTTTAGTACTAAATTTCGATAGATTGACGAAGTCCTTGTTTATATCGTGTTAATTTGTAAAATTTTTTGTATTTATTTGCATACAAATTTTAAATTTAGTCTATAGAATTATCAATTTTATTCGTATATAAGAACTGGACAGATAACAAATTTACAAATACGTCATTGACGCTACGACATCAATAAGAATATGAATTCTTTTTGTATGTCAAAGTACAAATGGACGTCGCGCTGATAATAAAGTATTGGCAATCAATATTGTTCTTCTTTAAAATATTTCCTTAATTTTAATATATATTAATAATTAATTATGTATTTAACATCGACTTTTTAAAAAGATATGTACTTTCTACTTAAATTATTATTTTGAGTATTAAAAATTATCAGTTTTCGAAGAATGTAATAATTTTATAGAAGTCGGAGTATTTATTCATGCTTTGTATCAAAAAAAGAAAAAAAGAATGTAAAATAAATAACTTAATTTATAAATCACTAGCTTTCCGCCCGCAGCTTCGCCCGCGTGGAGTTCGGTTATATCGCGTTTCCAAGAGAACCTTTCAAAAGTCTGGGATAAAAACTATCCTATATTTTTTCTCAAGGTCAACTCTATATCTGTACCAAATTTCATTAAAATCAGTTCAATGGTCTAGTCGTGAAAGCTTAACAGACAAACAGAGTTACTTTCGCATTTATAATATTAGTAGGGATTATTTATTATAATGATTTTCGTTAATACAACAGGCACACATAACGTCATTAATACTCAGCTTATGGTCCGTCACCACCAGATTCCCTCAACATCAGTAACTCCATATTTCATGGTTCCAACAATGGGATGCTGTGATCATTTTCTGTGCGGTGAGATAACACTGCCGCGTGCCGGCGCGTGCGCACCTAGTATACTTTATTTATGCTCTTAAAACCCAAGCTGGTACAGAGCTATATAAATATTAGAGCAGGATTGATATTTTTTTTTAATTACGTAATAAATTGTAGTATTCTTAGTATAATCAAGTTAAATTTCTCATTAGGCTAAGTTATAAGTTAATAATAATAAAAAAAATAAATGAATACAGATTTTTTTTACGTAAATATATCATTATTAAACATATTAAATATCATAGGTTTACTGAGGAAATATTCGATCGTTTAAAATAACTTCTGTCCCTTCTAATTTTTAATAACCCAACACGTTTTGAGTATTAGTAGTGTGTTGGTGAATTTTGTGTGAGCGATCAATTAGCCTGCGTCATGGCGCTTATGGTATCGTTTTAATGCCATAAATAAAAATATTTAATGCGGGAACCACAAATACGAGCACGGAATATATACAAAGAAGTGATGTTATATGTTATAATAATAAAAATATGTAGAAGTAGTACATAAGATACCTAATAATAATTATTATATAATATCATCTTATTCTTCGAAAAAAATAAGCAAATACTTATATATATTATATTTAAATCGACTTTAAAAGTTCCCATTAATGTTTTATGCTTACCTAAATCATTATTTACATATATAAAATCATTCTGTAAATGTGACGATAGCTATCATTTCCCCTTATTACTAGTGCTAATACGAAATCGGGATTACACTCCATTTACCGCGGCTCCGCTTTAAACCACAGAATAAATAAAGATTATATTAACTGGCTATTAAATGTCGTGAGAACGGTTTGAATTGCACAATAAATTAATGGTCTTGTTTATGTTTAATGTTAATTATTTTATATAAAATAAAAATTATGTGGTTATAATTATATATATTTATTTTATTTTTCATATCGGCTGTATGTCGTCAGTCCTTTGCCTCTAGATTTTTGTATTATCTGTTGTCTAATTCGATGTTCATTATGAATGACCTAGTCATTTATTTAAAATGGTTTCCACTCTGCGATCTGTTTTCCTCAGGACATTAATCTAAGATCTCACTTATCATTTAATTAGATCGAGCGGGCGCCCTTGCGGCTTCAATTTTATTTTATAACGTCATACACACGTCCATCCCTCGCTAAATATATAAATGTTATGTTTAAATTAGTTTTAAGTGTATGGCAGTAAGGTGCATATTTGTGTGGCATTTAATCTCTAGTGTGGTCTTCGTCCCCGCTATTCCCAACTGTTTCTGTCGTTGTCTATCCGCCACTGGCCAGTTGATGCGACAAATTATTAGGGTTGGCTATACAAATATTTAATTTATACACAAAAATAATAAAAAATATATGCAAATTTTAAAATTATGTTATTAAAATAGAAGCATACGTAATTTATAATCT